TGGTGGGCCCCTGCTACATTCACAGCTGTGCTAGGACACAGAGGGTCTAGTAGAAAAGACTAAGCAATTGCATACAGCGAGTGTGTTTGTGCTGTAAGGTAACAGGTGCAACCTGCTTTAGCAGCCCCCGAGGAACATTCAACTCTCCCACGAGGCTCTGGGAATCTAAACAGCCTAGAAGAGCCAAGGAATGGAGCTTGAGATGGGGAGCCATGTCCAGGCACCATAACAGATGGTAGAGATTCCCTGGTACAGGAACTCAGCTGCACGCCCTTCACTCTGTTCCAGGTGAATGGCTGCCTCCTTGTAAGGAGAAGTGCCTGGAGCCTACAGAGACAAGGAGACCTGCACAGGACTTGCTCTTCACAAGAAGGATTGCCCTGCACCTGGCACTCATAAGTCAGCACCAGATGGGAAGCAGAGTAGAGGCAGGTATTGGGAGCAAAGTGTGCAGGTGAAGATTGCTATGGGGGGAGGAGGGACCATCAGGACTGAGGCTCCAGCAGCAATTCTGTATCTGGGGGCTCCCAAGCCAGCTCCAGGCAAGCAGAAGGCTCTTGTGGAGGGTCACTGTGGTTTTAGATCACTGTCGCAGTTAGCTATTGCTGTATAACAAACCACCCCAAAATCTGGTGGCTTAAGATAATCAACATTAGTGTGTTGAACAGTTTTCTGGTCAGGACAGGCTGAGCTGATCTCTGTGGTAAGGAAGTGGGCGGTCTAGGATGGCCTCACTCACATGCCTTGTAGGTGGCTCAATGTCCGCTGGGTGATAAAGATGACTGGGCTAACTGTCTCTCATCATCCAGGAGGATTGTTGGGGCTTGTTCACATGGTGCTGGTTAGAAGGTTCCCAAGAACAGCAAGAGCAGGGGTAAGCTCCAGTGTATGGGCACTTTTCAACCCTATTTGCATCACCTTTGTTAATGTCACATTGGCCAAAGTAAGACAGCAAAGTCCGGATTCGGACAGAAGGCTTGAAAAAGTCCACCTCCTGATGGAAGGACTCAGATAGTAAAGAGGTGTGGATACATGCAGGGGACTAATTTGCAACCATTTTTGCAATCTTACTATGTTACAGCACTCCAGTGTTCTTTTGGGCATATCCCTACCCACACACTGAGACCAAGACAATCTGAGGCACAGTGATTAGTTCAAAGATGGGACATGTGACACAACTCTGGCCAATGAGATTCAGCCCTGGCACTTTTTCTGGGTTCTATTGGGAATGAGGTGTTTTCTTTTCCACGAGGGCAGGCATGGATCATTCTGGCTGGAGGCCATGTTTGCCACCATTTATATGTGTGTGTGTGGGTGGCAGGGTGTGTGTGTATGGAGGGATGGGGGTGGGAGGGAAGAGACTTCTTGAGTATTAAGCCAGCACTGAAGAAAACAGATATGAAACATCAAGAAAAAGAGATTGAGCCCAGCTGGTGTTGCTCAGTGGTTGAGTGTCAACCCATGAACCAGCAGGTCGTTTGATTCCCGGTTGGGTTGCAGTCTGTATCCCAATGGGGGGAATGGGGGAGGCAGCTGATCAATGATTCTCTCTCATCATCGATGTTTCTATCTCTCCCTTTCTCTTCCTCTCTGAAATCAATGAAAATATATTTTAAAAATATTCATACATCATGTTCAATATTTGGGATATACTTATATTTTAAAAAATTGCTTTCTATTTGTCTGAAATTCACATTTCCTTGGCATTCTGTATTTTATCTGGCAGCCCTGTCCTGGGTTCTCACTTTGTGCTGAGTGCCAGGGGAGATTCCTCTGAGCATTAGCCTGCTTTTGTGTGCGGAACATTTTGTTTTCACTCCTGAGTAAGGAAGTACAATCTCTTTATTGATTTAACAGAAGGGGAATATCCGTGGAAACAGCAGCATGTTAGAGGAGATTGGCTCCCGAGGTGGATAAATACCACGGGAAGAGAAGACAGCTGCCTTGTGTGACTCAGGTGGGCCTTTCAGAACTGCTTGTGCCTGTGGCTTTGCTTCCCAGGTCTAAGGTGGGCTTGAGTGGCTGCTGTTGCAGAGAGCAGAATCAGAGCTGCTCAGCCTGGGAGGAAAAGATTTGTGGAAATGCGGGCTCATTCCGGTGATCCACTCACTCATTCATTCAGTCTCACTGAGTAGCTCGTGGCTGGAACTTAGAGATGAATGGCATTGAGAGCTGCCCTGGAGGCCCTCCAAACTCAGGGAGGTGGCTCTGGACCCAGGACCAACAAGTGATGCCTCCCAAATCTGTCTTCCTGGCTGAACAGGAAGAATGTATTTCTTGCCCTAACCAGTTTGGCTCAGTGGATAGAGCATCATCCTGTGGACTCAAGGGTCCCAGGTTTGATTCCTGTCAAGGGCTTGTATCTTGGGTGCAGGCACATCACCAGTAGGGGGTGTGCAAGAGGCAGCTGATTGATGTTTCTCATTGATGTTTCCAATTCTCTCTCCTTCTCCCTTCCTCTCTGTAAAAAATTGAAAAAATATATTTAAAAATATATTTTAAATACATTAAAAAAAGGAATGTATTTCTTTCCCTTCTTTTCTCTCTTCCTTTCTCATCTCTTCCATCACATCCCAGCTCTTTGTCATCTAATTACAAACATAATTACTTTGAAACCAACTAGTACCATAAAGGAACAATTCCTGGTGCACTCAGGTGGGGAGCCTGGTTTTGGTCTCAATTCCTTTGCCTCTCCAAGCCCACACCACTCTCCCAGCATCCAGATCTAGGTGGGCAAAGCCATCTAACTCAGCCTGGAGTTCATTTGCATGCCCTCTTCTAATTGGCTGATACAAACCCACTGCCGCCTCCCATTTCCCTGCTATTCCCACCTACCTACTGATGCCCCACGAGGTCCAGCATCCTGAGATCCTCCGACCTCTGCCCTGCTTCCTTGTCTGCTCAATTATTCCTCTGTAAAGTGTCAGTGGGTGATCCCTTCTGGTTTGGGGTGAAGCGACCTAGGTTCAAGGCTGGAAATTGCCTCTGGCAACCTGCGTAATCTTGAATGAATTCCTTTGCCTCTCTGAGACTCAATTTCCATGTCTATAAAATGTAAATAGTTCTTATAATGAGGGCCTTATGAAAATATTCTGCAGTGGTTAATAGGGACTCTTAAGCACAGACTGCCTCAGTTCAAGTCCTTCCTCTTTCACTTAGCAGCAGAGTGCCCTGAGCAAATTTCCTGTTACTTTCCTTTTCTCATTTGGTTGGAGACTGAAATAAGTCAGCATGTGTAAAAATACCTAGAACAATGCTTTGCATACAAGTGTCTAATAAATGCCAGTTATTATTATAATGTCTGTTAAAGTCCTTTGCCCAACTGCTATTAATATTCTTATTGCCCAGTGAGTATTTGGGAAAAATCAGTGGAGTACAACTCTGACTCTGGAGCCAGAGGTTCCTTAAAAAGAGAGGCCAAAGGAATGAAGCCTTAATCTCTTTGAGCCTCAGTATCTGTGTCTATAAAATGGCAATAACAACCTCATCTCTGCCTACTTCACAAGGAAGCTTGAGTGTCAAAGGTAAGCACTTAGAAAAATATCTGAATGAATGAATGAATGAATGCATGGATCAGGAGGAGTGGCAGTGGCAAGCTACCCTGAGCAATATAACTGTTGACTTGCTGCCCAGGAGACCTGACAATGGCCCACTTTGGGCAACCGATGAGAGTGAGTTGAGCAGAGAGGCTGGGTGGTGTGCTGGTGAGTTTTGGACAACAGGTGCTCTTATACCCACTTAGTGAGAGGGTAAATGTATTGGTACAGCCTTTTTGGAAAATCACACAGCACAGTTTAAAAGTGTAAACAAATTAACCTAATAGTTTCATTTATTGGAAGTCATCCACCATATATCCAGGCTCAAATGTGCCAACATTTATATAGTGTGTTCATCGCAACACTTGGCAATAGTGAAAAATTGGAAACAACTTAAATGTTCCTCAGTATTGGAGTAGATAAATAAATTATGGTGTATCTATATAATGGACTACATAGCTATTAAAAAGAATGAGGTAAAGCTATATGTATTAACATCCAGAGGTATCAAGATGTATCATTAAGTAAACATATAGAAAAACTCAAGTTGATAGAGCTTTGAATTTATAGTAACACTAGAGGCCCAATGTATGAAATTCATGCATAGGTAGGGTCCGTAGGCCTGGTGGGTGATCAGGGCCCATCTGTGGGGCAACTGGCAGGGTGATTGGGAGCCCTCCCTCCTCCTCCTGCCTTGGCTGGCCTGGGGCCTGCAGGCTGGGGGCAGCTCCTGCATTGTGCATCTGCCCCCTGGTGGTCAGTGCGTGTCATAGTGACTAGTTCGGTCAATTTGAGTATTAGGCTTTCATTATATAGGATTTGTGGAAAACCTTATCTATGTATTAGCATAGGAAATATCTGAAAAGTTATACAAAGTTAAGGTGATTAAGAAAAGGAATAACTTAAAATTAAAATTTAATTTTAATTTAATTTTGATAAAAGTGCATCTATTCAAAGTCCAGTGGTCCTGATTGTATAATCTGGACAATGACACCGTGTGAATCAAGAACACTCTATTCAATCTTGAAAAAAACAACAACAAAAAGAACACGCTATTCAAGTTTTTAAGTGGAAGCTTCCTTTTGTGTAAACTGGCAATGATAATGCTTACCTCGCAGAATTGTGACGGGGTTAGATAAAATAATAGATATGAAAGCCCTTGCTCACAGCAGTTATATAGCAGTGAGGGAAGGCAACCCGGAGGAAAAAGCATTAGCTTAGACCTTGAAAGATTCATAAAGTGTGGATTTGGTTTGACTCCTGGATGTCTTTTCCCCAACATTCAACAGACATTTACTCATTAAGGTTCAAAATATAAAAGCGGATGCGGGCCCATTAACCATTCAACTTCCGGCTGGAAAGGCGGATCAGGCGCATGCGCAGTAATAGCATCGTGGCTGTGCTCCGCCCACGTACTACAACTCCCGGCAGGCTCCGCGCACACGCCGCCGCCGGCGCGTCGCGGGCTGCTGTCGTAGCGCACACGGTAGCGCGGGGAATTTCGAGTGGCGGTGGAGCGCGGGAGATCAGTGGGCAGTGGAACTCCTGGCATCCTTTGGGGAGGCCATGGATGCCCTGGGCGAGCCTCGGTGGCCCCCGGGCCTGGAAGTCATGAAGGTGAGTGCCGCGGCCAGGTAGGGGGCGCGCGGGTGTCAGCGGGAGGCCAGGCCCGCCTGGAGAGGACCCGGCGCGAGGGGTCGGCTTGGGCCAGGGCGCCCGGCTTTGCTCTGCCACTTGCCCACCGGCCGCCCGCGCGGCTCCGGGCCTCAGTGTCCCGGGGACAGGCCTCGGCTCCTGTTTCTGAGCTGAGGTTGGCGGTCTTCAGGAGCCGGGCGTTCTGCAGGTCAGCCACAGCAGTGACAGTATTAGAAGAGAGGCCACAGCAGAGGACAGTAACGGTCCGCGGGGGAAGGACCGTTAGCCTAAGCCGGGGAAACGACAGCGGTTATTAACCCTTTCGGAGGGTTTACTGCGTGGTAAGCATGATGGCAACTCTTTCCCGTACCTCAGTCTAGAATTTCCGAAGTGACACTGGACGTGATTTTGGGTAGAATTTGCATCAAAAAAGCATTTACTTAGTCACCGAGTCAAGCAGGTAGACTCCTTGACGTTTTCTTTAATTTGTTCTAATTCCCCTTAAGAAGCCTAGTGCTGGTTTGCCCTGGCTCCTTCCTAACTCCTAACAGTTGTGCATGTGTCTCTTTTAAACAAAGAGATGAGGACTCAGGCTCAGCATTAGTCAGCCTTTCACCTAATGGAATCATGTCGCCCATGATTTGGGTTTTTGGCAAGGCATTTAGGTGGTGGTGAGCCCAGGATTCCTGCTTGATTTGGTCAAGAGCAAATACGTTTTGCTGTGCTAAGAATCAGTTGCTTGGTTTTTCTCCCGGCGGGAAAGATCACTTTCTCTTTCTCTTCCTAGGTTTTGTTTACTTGAGGATTATGGTATCTGCCCCACTGACTCAGAAGGCGGATCTGAGGATTAAGTGAAGGGATTTGTGGGAGGTTAAAGTAAATGTGAACCTTATTCTTCCTGTGGTCAACAGTGTCATCTGCAGTCCTTGGGGAGTGGAGATTACCCCATGGTGAAAGCTGACATTGTGGAAAGGAGCTAGGAAAGCTGTGGTTTTCAGTTATGGTGGCTTTGGTGTTCACGCACAGTGGAGTAGAGCACAGATTTGAGTTAAGGCAGTTAGGCCCGTTCACAAGAGCATAGCCCAAATATAAATGCTAAGAAATAGTTTTATATATATTACAAGGTGATCAATTTCTGTAATGCAAGCAGAACAACTAAAATCTTTAAGGTGAAAAGCAATTAGACATCAATTTGGAGAGTAAACAAACACTTGAACTGCTATGGTTAACAGGACATGGTGCAGAAATGGTGGTCCTGGGTTAAGACTGATTTTGGCCTCTCATTGAACTGTGTGACCTTGAGTTAGTTACTAAAACTGACCTGAACTTCCTCAACTATAAACCCGAGGCTAAAATAAACAGCTTGTAGGGTTGGTTAAATGAGGTGATGTGCGTGATAGTGATCCTGTCTGACTTTGTCACTGTATTTAATGTGTGGGTGCTCAAAATTATTTGCCAGTTGATTGAAGGTCTCTGGAAGTCAAACATTCAGTTGATGCATCTTATTAGTATTTAATGTATGTTAACGTTTCAACCCCTTTTTATTTGTTGTTGTGAAGATGTAATTGGATAAAGGAAGTGAAAGTTCTGTAACCTGTAAAGCTACCGTTTGTTTGTAAATTTGAGCACACCCTATATAATAAAAGCCCATCTCTAGCGCCTATCCCTAGCCAGTTTGGCTCAGTGGATAGAGGGTCTGCCTACAAACTGAAAGGTCCCAGGTTTGATTCTGGTCAAGGGCACATGCTCAGGTTGTGGGCTCAATCCCCAGTTGGGGGCTTGTAGGAAGCAATGATTCTCTCTCATCATTGATGTTTTTCTCTCTCTCCCTCTTTCTTCCTCTCTGAAATCAATAAAAAAAAATATTTTAAAATAAAAGAAAAGAAAATAAAAGCCCAGCAACCATAATGGCAGAATGACCAGAACAACCGCTCTACCAGTTACTATGAGGTGCACCGACCACGACCACCTCTTGGCCCCTTTCCCTCGCCCGCAGGCTTTGATTGCCGATGGCAAACAGGGACCTGGAGTGAATGAGGGGAAGGGGGGAATCTGTGGGCAGCACTAGGCCAAGGCCCCTGCCCCACCTGTCACCGGCTACACACCCAGCAAGACCTGTGCCAGGAGTCGGCTGGTAAGCTGGCTGGAATGGCCAAGCTCTTGGTCCCTTCCCCAGGCCATCAGACTCCCACCCTTTCAATGTGCAAGAATTCATGCCCCAGGCCACTAGTGTTATATAACAACTCCTTTGATGTGGTATCACCTTCCACAGATCTTGCTCAGCAGACCTGTTAGAACCACTCCTCCACTGGAAGTGGATGGTTATAGGGAAGAAATTACAATAGATTAGATGCCAGGGCTCTGTCTTCCAGTTCTCTTCTGCTCTTAATCAATTTTCAATGCAATCCTCTTTAAAAAAAAAATAAAAAAAATTATTGATTTTTTTTTTTTTTACAGAGTGTAAGGGAGAGGCATAGAGTTAGAAATATCGATCAGCTGCCTCCTGCATGCCCCCTACTGGGGATGTGCAGCAACCAAGGTATATACCCTTGACCGGAATCGAACCTGAGACCCTTCAGTCTGCAGGCTGATGCTCTATCCACTGAACCAAACCAGCCAGGGCAGTCCTCTTGCTTTTTGAGTCAATGGTAGCTTACTATATAAAATGAAAGGTTTTGGTATTTTAATGTTTATTTCCCTAGGTTGACAATAACAAAAATTTCTGGCTTTGACAGTTTATAAATGTATGTGTATACAATAGAAAAAAAAATTAAACTCCAGGATAAGAGAAAGGACTAAATGAGTTACCCATTATCCTATCATCTAGGGCAGTGGTCGCCAACTGGTGGTCTGCAGACCATTGATGGTCTGTGAGGTCTGAAAGGTTGGCGACTGTTGTCTAGAGATAACTACTGTTTAACATCTTCTCTTATTTCTGGTCCATTTACCTTGTGTGTGCTCATGCCCACAAAGTGGAAATGCATTTAAAATTTGGGATTACTTTGGGGTGAACTTCTTGTGTTTGATCCAGTCGCTTTTAAGCTCTGAAGTCTGAGTCTGCAAGGCTGGGATTCAGATGCTGTAGACCTCATTGGATTGTTATGGAGATTAAACTACATGGTTCTGTTATTATTTATTATTGTTATAGATTTGTTCTCTGATGCATTTTTTTCCAGTTTCCATTAAAACATGAGCATGTATAATTTACATAAAACAAGGAGCCACTAGGCATTTTTCTTTAAAAGCATATATATTTTAAATGACTACATAATATTTCATCATATGTACTATTAGTGACATTAGTCTTTTCATTTGTTTTTTTTTTAATTTTGATATGCTCACATGGTTAAAAAAATACATGGAATGAAAAGTAAAAGTCTGCCTCCCAACATGTCCCTCTTCTATCCAGTTTTCTAACTCCTGTGATTATTATTTATTACTTTTTTCTGTCTTCTCTATCTTATCAGAATTTCTTTATACCTGCATACAAGATAAAAATAGAATACATTCTTATTCTCCCCTGCCTTTTAAGCAAAAGGTAGTTATATGTACTGTCTTTTTTCACTTATCTTGACAATCCCTCTGTATCAGTGCATAAGAGAGCTTCTTCTTTTGGGTCTTTTAACTATTTTCTCAGTATTCTACTGAAAAACATTTTATTTTAAATGATTTAAAGATTTGGGATTGTGAGAGTAGATCCTTTTTGGCTGCATTCCAGGTTGACATATATCTGTCGGACTTTCAGATTGTCCACTTCACCTCCCTTATTTCAACCTAGGGAAATAAACATTAAAATGTCACTGGTCCTGGTCTCCCTCGGGCTCCTTTGTTTGGCTCCATTGTGGAACCATGCAGAAGCCAGTAGTGAGACAGCAAGTTTAGTCCTGGCTGGACTCATGTCCCATATATGTGCCCGCTCTAAATACTAATTTCCTCGGGTGTAAAGTAAGGGGTTTAACTAGATAATTTCTAATGTTTGGCTTTAATATTCTCTGATTTGGTTTTAACCTTTATGCTAACTGGCTACTGTTACCTTTCCCTTAGCGGTGACTGTAGGCCAGGGGATGTGGTCTGAAGAAGAGGTGGATTGGAGTACAAACTGGGAATGTGTGGGAAGTGGGGAAGGAATAGAGTAGCAGTCCTTTTGTGAAGGAGTAACAATATTGTGTAAAAATTTGTACACTGTCAGCTTGATCTGTCTAAAGTGTTTTGAATGTGTAAGAGTCACATGGGTGGATGTTTTTCTCTATTAAGATCTCCTGCAGTTATGTGAAGTTTGTATATTTGACAAATAAGTATTACTAAGTTATTTTTTTAGTGGTGTAGGAAGAGTTCTGTGCTGAACATTCTAATGTGGGTGTCTTTTTGATACATAAATGTATTATGTGTATTATTTGCATTTCAGACAGTAGATGATTTGCTACGGTGTGGAATTTGCTTTGAATATTTCAACATAGCAATGATGATTCCTCAGTGTTCACATAACTGTAAGTATATACTGTTTCTGTGAATTAGTAAAAATGTGATTTTTATGTAAGTTAGTGTCAGGTTCGAGCCCCTCTGCCAGTGACTGGACCTTTTTGAATGCTGGGTATTCAGAGACGGAGAAGCCATGAGAAGTTGTGGGTATATAAGAGAGTCTTTATTGCAGAAGCCAGTGCCATGTAGCCATTGCTAACAAGGAGCTATTAGACAAAATAGTTCCTTCAAAGCGAAGTCCCATTCAGTAGCCACACACGGGCGAGGTAACAATACATCTTTCCCACACAGTGGCAGTAGCCTCTGTACCCACAGCAGCAGCTTGCTGGTTAGCAATGCAGCCCCACATAGCAGCAGCCTGCCTTACATGGGAGCAGCCTCACCAAGCAGCCGCATCTGAGCTGGTCAGTGACATCCTTTCTGTTACTTCTTTCCAAATAGTGACCTCAGTCTTTTGGGTTATAGAAGGGCACGCTTGCGCAGTATACATACAGATTACTGTGGCCTTGCTCGCACCTGTGTATAGTCCTTGGATACCCTGATTAAGATTCTCATGGTCAGGTGGCCTTGAACATCCAGCATACTCTGAATAGGGACCCTATAAAATAGTATTAATTTAACATCAAAGATATGTATACATTTATTTCTCACTTTTAGTTCTATCTTGAAGTTCTCAGGTCTTTTTCACCATTTCCTCTTGAATATTGAAGTTTTTACAAAACCTCCTATATTTTCTATTACTTCCTGCTTGGTTATTTTTATGCCTTTTATAGTATTTATGACAATAAAGATTTTGGCCACAATGCATAGTTCTTTATTTACCAAGCACTTTTAGAATGTTAAATTTTTTAATTTTTGTTTTTAGCAGGATAAAAGATAATTCAACTAAGTAATAGTTGCTTTTTATACTTGAGGTATTTAGCACACAGGTGAGCCTGTCATTGTTCAGGAGCTGGCTATCCAGTTTATGGATTATCCAAGTTCATGATCTTTCTGTCCTCTGTTTTTCAAGTTGATTTGTCATGGAAAGTTAAAAAACAAGCAAGTTTGAGCCCTAGCTGATTGGCTCAGTGGATACAGTTTTGGCCTGCGGACTGAAGGGTCCCTGGTTTGGTTCCGGTCAAAGGCCTGGGTTGCAAACTTGATCCCCAGTAGGGGGCATGCAGGAGGCAACCGATCAGTGATCCTCTGTCATCATTGATGTTTTTATCTTTCCCTCTCCCTTACTCTCTAAAATAAAAAAATTTATTTAAAAACAAAACAAAAAAACAAGTTTGACTTAAAAAAATGGTTTTGGTGGGAAAGTTTCTATAGAGAAGACTTAGAGGATGCTGGTGGAAGTAGCATGGGCATTAGAGACATACTTGGGTTTGACTTTTGACTCCCTACTTACTAGGATGGTGAGTTTGCAAATGCCCAACATTTATTCAAAAGTAAAAATCTTGAGAGCATTTTCTACCTTAGAAGAGGATTGTGAGAATTAAATGTGCAGAGACCAGTATCTGGCACATGATAGGCCTTTAGTAAATGTCAGTTTTCTTTCTAGGCCAGATTCACATTAATAACCAAGGTAAATTTTGGGGACTGTTTCTAATGTGTGTTAAAGGCATCCTTATTTAGGTATAATTTACATAACATAAAATACATCCATTGTAAGTGCATAGTAAAGTGTACAGGTGTTTGTGAGTTTTGACAAATGCATATATCATGAAACCACTTCACTTAAGATACATAACATTTCTGTCACCTGATCAAGTTCTCCCTATCTCAGTACGGTTGTAGGCAATCACACATGGGCCTGTTTTTGGACTCTTCTTCTGTTCCATTGATCTACATGTCTGTTCTTGGGCCAATGCCACCTTGTCTTAATTTCTGTAACTTTTAGAAAGTTTTCAAGTCAGTCATTGAAAGTATTCCTGCGTTGTTTTTCTTTGTCAAAATTATTTGGGTTCTTATAGGATCTTTACATTTTACATGCATTTTCAGATAAATTTTAGAATCAGATTGCAAATTTCTACCAAAAAAGGCTACTGGGTTGTGCATTTGGATTGCACTGAATCTAGAACTCCATATGGGGAGAAGTGTCATCTTAATAGTGTTGAGTCTTCAGTATAGGAATATGGCATATTCTTCCATTCTTTAGCTTTTCTTTCATCTCTCCCCACAACATTGTTTAGTTTCCAGTGCACAGGCCTTGCACATAGAAATATAGTTTTTTATATTGGCCTTTTATCTTGTGATCTTGCTAAATTCACTTTTGTTGTTACTGTTAATCCTCATCCCAAGATATTTTTTTTTCCCCATTGATTTTTAGAGAGTGAAAGGGAGGAGAGAGAGACAAGAGAGAAACATCAATGCAAGAGAGACACATGGATTGTTACCTCCCACACGGGCCCTGGCGAGTGCCAGGGATCGAGCTGTAACCGAGGTACGTGCCCTTTACCGGAATCGAGCCCAGGAGCCTTCAGTCTCAGTTTAAAGAAATGAGACTTGCCGAAACTGGTTTGGCTCAGTGGACAGAGCGTCGGCCTGCAGACTGAAGGGTTCCAGGTTCGATTTCGGTCAAGGGCACATACCCAGTAGGGGGTGTGCAAGAGACAGCTGATCGATGATTCTCTCTCATCGATGTTTCTATCTAACCCTCTATCCCTCTCTCTTCCTCTCTGTAAAAAAATCAATAAAATATATTTTTAAAAAATGAGACTAGTTTTTGACACAGCGTATGGTAATTTCTTTGTTCATGTTTCATGTATACTTAAATGTTCTGTAGATGGGTAGATTGTTCTATAGATGTCAATTAGGTCAAATATGTTGATAGTGCTCTTAAGTTTTCTGTGTCTCTATGGTCTCTCTTCCTCTCTTTTATCAATATTGAGAGAGGAGAGTTGAAATCCTTGATTATAATTGTGGATTGATTTATTATCATTTAATTTCTATCAGCTTTTGCTTTACGTATTTTGAAGTGTTTTTATTATGTGTATACCTATTTATGATTGTTTTTCTACTTGATCAATTTACCATTTTGTTATCATGAAATGTTTTTCTTTATCCCTAGTAATATTCCTTGTTCTGAAGTCTGCCTTTTTTTCTGATACTCATGTAGCCACTCCCACTTCTTTAAGATCAGTATTTGCATGGTTTAGCTTTTTCCATCCTTTACTTCTAACCTATGTGTTTCTTTATATTTAAGAAATAGCTTTTTATAGACAACTTATATTTGGGTGTTGCCCTGTAATGCAGTTTGACAATATCTGTTTTTACTTGGACTATTTCAACCTATACTGTTTAGTACCATAGCTAAATGTGGCCATATGTGGTTATTTACATTTTATTTACAACTAATTAAAGTTAAATAAAATTACTACTTTCTCAGTTGCCACATATCACAGTTTTTATAAACTGCCTTCACTTAAGGAAAGACCTTCATTGGTCAGCCCAGCTAGAGATACTGGAGTGTCTTCAAACCTTTTCTGTGGATGCGTAGTCTCTGGATTTGTGAGTGTAAATTCCCAATGAGACATTGTGCTGTTCTTTGTTGTTTTTTTTCATTCGTTTGTAATCTCTTGCTTCCTCTCCATCTGTGGTGCTGCAGGACCTGTGGAGCTATAATGAGCTACTCTGTGCTCTTCCGATCCTAGTGGCCCCCAGGCATCTGGAGTGAGCCCCATCCTATCAGCATTGCAAGTGAGGGAGACAGAGGCCAGTCCCTCAGGAGCCCATTGGAAAGCTGAACTATTGGGTGCATGCTACCCTCTTCCCCCAAAGGAGAAGCCACTGAGCTGGGCTGGCCTCTGGTTGCTGTCCTGTGTGTTTTTTGAGCACAGCAAGTTGTCCAGCTTTCTTTTGTTAACGCTCACGGCCCCTTTTGGGGCTGGTGAAATGGCAGATGTTTTCCACGGCAGGACACGGATTTTTGAGGACAAGTAGTAAAATGTGTGGACTGAATTGTGTTTTCTCCAAATTCCTATGATGAAGATCTAATTCCCAAAGTGATGGTATTTGGAGATGGGACTTTTGGGAGGCAATGTACTTATATTACCATCTGATCTGGGTTGTTCATTAGAGCCCTTGGCATATTAATTATAGTTGTTCTACATCTCTGGTCTGATAATTCCAACATCCCTGCCATATTTGACTGGTTCTCATGCTTGCAGTTCCTTCAAACTTTTTTTTTCCTTTTCCTTTTGGTATGCCTCATAATTTTCCCCTAATTATGTGGAGTATTTATGGATGTGGTGTACCAGGTAAAAGAAACGTCAGTAAATAGGCTTGCAGTAATGTGGTGAGGTGTGTTCTGTAGTCCTGTGATTGGGTCTCAGCCTTTGGTCAGCGTGTGCCCTTGGACTTTGCACTTCACATGCTTTTCAGGTCTCTCTCCCCTCCCCCACCCCCAATTCCAACTTCCACAGGTGGACGGGACAGCTAGAAGTAGCTGGAGTTGGTTATTTTTCTTCCCCCAGGTCAGCTGGGCTCTGATAAAGCCTAACAGAATAGCCCCCGGTAGAACAGTTTCTTGAGGGCAGGCCTTGTTAAGAAGAACCCAGTGCTCGGGTCCATTTCAAAAACTACTTTTCCACTCCTCCTGCAGAAGGACTAGGGGATTTTTTGTCTGATAGAAACTTTGAGAACCTGGTAGAACTCTTGGAATGAAAACACGTAAGTGTGAGCCCCTCCTCACTCTCACCCCGCTCCCCAGTATTTGTGTTGCCTTAGAATTTTTAAACTCAGACTGTCCATACCATTTGTCAGTTGCAGTTCAGGTTTTACCCCAGCTCCGGTTCCCATGCAAGTTTCTGAGTATGGGTTTCTACACTGGTAAGTTATGATTCTATTTCCAGCCTGATGTCTCCAATTTGGGGGCAGTTTGCCCTGTGACCTCACTTCTCTGGTGTATCCAAGAAGAGTTGTTGGTTTTTCAGTCTGTATGGTCTTTTTCTTGTTGTTAGATAGAGTTATGACTTCTGCGCTCCTTACATGCCAGACCAGAAACCAGAAGTCCCCTTTATTCACCTTTGCTTCCCAAAGAACTTAACTTGGCTTGTTTTATATTTTTAATAACCCACTAGAGGCCCCATGCATGAAATTCATGCATGAGGGGAGGAGAGGAGAGATGGTGGGTGTTCTTTAGCCCAGCCTGCACCCTCTCCAATCCAAGACTGCTGACTCCCAACCGCTCCCCTGCCAGCCTGTTTGCCCCTAATTGCTGTCCCTTGCAGGCTGGTCATCCCTAACTGCCCTCCCCTGCAGGCCTGATCACCCCCAACTGCCCTCCCCTGCAGGCCTGGTTCCCCCCAACTGCCCTTCGCAGGCCTGGGTCCCCCCACCTGCCCTTCCCTGCAGGCCTGGTCACCCCAACTTTCCTTCTCTGCTGGTCTGATCATCTCTAACTGCCCTCCCCTGCAGGCTTGATTGCCCCCAACTGCCCTCCCTTGCAGGCCTGGTCCCTCCCAACTGCCCTTCCCTGCTGGTCATCTTGTGGCCATCTTGTGTCCACATAGGGGCAGCCATCTTTGACCACATGGGGGCAGCTATCTTGTGTGTTGGCGTGATGGTCAATCTGCATATTACTCTTTTATTAGATAGGATAGAGGCCTGGTGCACTGGTGGAGACCAGCTGGTTTGCCCTGAAGGGTGTTCTGATCAGGGTAGGGGTTCCCTTGGGGCATGGGGCGGCCTGGGTGAGGGGCCTGTGGTGGTTTGCAGGCCAGCCATGCCCCCCGGCGACCCAAGTGGAGACACTGGTATCTGAGATTTATTTATCTTCTATAATTGGAACTTTGTAGCCTTGAGTAGAGGCCAGGACAGGCCAAGAAGCTTGGCTTCCTCCATTGCCAGGGAAACCCAGGCCTCCTGCTTGCTCTGTGGCCACAGCCATCTTGTTTGGGTTAATTTACATACTCACTCTGATTGGCTGGTGGGCGTGGCTGGTGGGGGCATAGCGGAGATATGGTCAATTTGCATGTTTCTCTTTTATTAGTGTAGATGCTTCTCTCTCCTAAAAGTGCTACTTAATCACATTTGCAATTATGCATGGGTAGGATAGAGATGCTAGAATTTTGATATTATAATGATACTAGAGGTATGGTGCATGAATTTGTGCACAGGTGGTGGTCCCTCAGTTTGGCCAGCGATTGAGGCCTATCAGGGGCCAGCTGGCCAACCTCCTGCAGCCCCTCCCTTTGGCTGGCCACCCGCTCCCTCCCAATTGGGGTATTCTGGGGGCTGGCTGGGCAATGGGAGGGGCCGGGAGAAGGGCTATGGGAGTTTGGTTGGCCACAGGAGGTTGGCTGTGGGAGCACACTGACCACCAGGGGGCAGCTCCTGCGTTGAGCATCTGCCCCTTTGTGGCCATTGCTCATCATAGTGACTGATCAACCAGTCGTTCTGGTTGTTTGGTCATAATGTTCACTTAGGCTTTTATATATATAGATACCTTATCAGTAGTCACCAAACTTTCAGACCTCACGGACCACCAGTGGTCCGCAGACCACCAATTGATGACCACTTCCTTAGATGATGGAAATACTCTACATCTTAAGTCAGATTTTGTTAGAAGTCAGATTCCTGTTTTATTAATATAGCTTAACTAATTTATGTTGCATTTATGTTTTTGCAGACTGTTCTCTCTGTATAAGAAAATTTTTGTCCTATAAAACACAGTGTCCAACTTGTTGTGTGGTGAGTTGTTCTTTCCTTTTTTTGTTTTTAAAAGAACTTAATTCAGTGGTGCAAATATTTCTGCTTCATGTGTGCGCAGAAGCCCAAGGGTAGATATGTAATTATTGAATTGAGCTGTAAAAAAGACATTTTGAGAGAAAGAACCTCTAAAACACATATATGGAGAACTGTGCTTTGTTCAAGTTTTTCTGGGAACTTCTGATGACCTAAATATATTTTAGGAGGAAAAACTAATTTTAAGGCCAGAATGTAGCACTCATAAAATGTTAAGACCCATGTTTTTATGGCTTTTCACTTGTTATTCTCACATTGATAGGAAAGCTGATGATGGTAGGATTATTTTTTTTCAAGTGATTGTGTAAGTATTTGTGCAGAAGGCAAAGATTCATGGCCATTGGGCTGAACCCAGCCTAATCCTTACCTCTTTCCGAAAACAGACCTTCAGGAAATTTGTTGTTAGTTTTGTTAGTGGTTTCTGAACCTTTTCAAGTAGTGAAACTAGTTGAAAAGATAGGTTAAAAGGGAAAGTAGACATTAATGGGAGTAAAGAAAGAAGAAAAAGAGATAGTAAGGCCTAACAGCAAAGACACTTAGCCTAGTTAAAGGGTTTGGGTTCTCGTTCTGTTAGGTTCATGGTGTGAGGATACCATTGAACTTCTCTTGAGTTATTATGTAAAGACCCTGTGTAAGAAATGATAGTTTGTTTCTCGAGTCTAAGCTCTTAAAACATCAGGCATCCTATCTTTGTCAAGATGGTATTATCACAGAGATGAACTGTATGTCATTTATGCTAAATAACTACTGGATTTACCATTTTCATCTTGCATTCCCAAAAACCAATCTTGTTTTTAAGAGAGCATCTCTTCTGTTCTTTGGGAGAAATGTTTGATAAAGGTGAGTGTTGGCATCCTCACTCATATTAAGTTTTACCTTAGTACAGAGTATATATGACTTTACCATATGCATTAGAGAACTTTTATCAGACTTCCAGTTGGCTGATACTGACTCAGTGTTTTTAAATAGCATATTCGTGTGAGATAGATAAACTTTATTTTGAGACTTTCCTGGAAGACTTAATGGGATGGGGAGTCTTGAGAGGATGGGTCACACATTTTAAAAAACAAGACCATGACAAGTAAGTTATTGCTTATGACTTTTTTCCATCTGTTGTTTTTCCTTTTTAGACAGTCACAGAGCCGGACCTGAAAAATAACCGTGCGCTGGATGACCTGGTAAAAAGCTTGAATTTTGCACGGTATGATTTGACTTTGTGACTAACCCCTAACTACTTTCGCCTTTATTGTGTCCCCTTTTTACTCTGCACTTTTGGGGATTAGAGAAGGCAGGGTTGTGTATTTGGGGTAAAGTAGGGAGGCAACAGTAGTTATTTATCAAGCATAGATCATTTAATTGTAATGGAATTTTCTCCCTTTACTTAACAGAAATCCACCTGTTATGAAAAACAAGAGTTAAAATGCAGATTTGAACATGCACTTACTTTTGGGTACTACAAAGATACTCCAGTTTCATTTTTTATTTTTCCTGCCCCATGCTTAGAGTCAACTATTTCCCAAGGAGCCCTGGTTCCTTTTATTGGAGACTAGAGGCCCAGTGCATGAAAATTCATGCACTGGAAGGGGCGGGATTCCTCAGCCCGGCCTGTGCCCTTTTGAAGTCCAAGATCCCTTAAGAGATGTCCACCTTCCCAAGGGAGCAGGCCTAAGCTGTCATTTGGACATCCTTAGTGCTGCTGAGGAAGCGGGAGAGGCTCCTGCCACTGCCTCTTCGCTCATAGCTGTCAGCCTGGCTTGTGACTAAGTGGAGCTCCCCCTGTGGGAGTGCACTGACCACCAGGGGGCAGACGCTCAACGCAGGAGCTGCCCCTGGTGGTCAGTGCACATCATAGCGACTGGTCGTAATGCTGTTAGGGTCATATTGCCTTTTATTATATAGGATGGTGTTTAGAAATCAGGATCTAGAGTGGGCTGTGCTCATTGTTACTGGGTTGTCCTTGCTTCTAGGCCCTCTCCATAGACAGTTGGGCAACATGTGCATGTATATTTATGTATTTACTAATCCATGTATGCACATACATCTATAATTGTTTCTGTGCCTATCACATATTAATCCATTTATTCTTAATCTGATTTTCTTAGCATGTATAAAATGATGTGCCATGTGAAATATCTATTAACCACTTCATAAAAGTCAGAAATGTAGCTTTTCTTCTTAACTGATATGCATGATGGTAAAGGTGAGTTTGTTCACCTAAAGGGATATAAAAAGGCATGTTTTACCAAACGGCATCTTGAATTATTTTTAGTTTAAATCATGCAAGTCAAGTAGGACTTTTTATTAAGAATAAACAGACTGTTTAGTTAAAGGTAGGTGCCCATGTACTTACTGTATGACTGTCAGGCTTTTGGAGCATTCTTGGGTGTACATTACTTTGCATCTAAAAATGTAAAGAGATTTCTTCCAGTAGAATTGCATAATGATTGATCCTAAAAAATGATCAAATTTAATATTTTGAACTTACAAGTATGACATTCTAGAAATTGGCTGGTTAGTTATTTCCCTAAGAAAAATCATAAAAAGGTGGTAAGCTTTACTGGATAAAGAAACTCTCAGATTCTCTGATTCTCATAAAGTTAATTGCTTTTTAAATTTTAAAGTCTTTCAGTCAGTTTGATTTTGAAGCCTGTGAGAAAAGATGGAGTCATATCTTAGGAAGGAATTTTTGAGAGAGTATAATTGTATTTCAGGCTTATTTTTTCCTCTTCTGCTGGTACTGAAAACAACAACCGCCCTGCTAAGAAAAAGGGAGTGTTATAGAAGAGAAGCGATCAGTATCTTTGGGTTCACAGACCTTTTGGTAACTTAAAAGGAGGCCTTGGAATGACTGAACTCTCCCCTTTCTCCCTCCCAAAAGGAGTAGATTATTTAATTATTCATTATAGAGGGTGTGGTGGAGTGGGAAGCATTCTCTGTAGATTTGGGGTGGTTTTTATTATTGACTTCTTTTGTTAGCCTTGGAGTTGCCTTATGGTGAACATTCCTCTGACATTTGTCATGTCTAAAGCACTGTGGTATCTCATTTGCAAAATTAGGAATGAAATTCAAGCTAATTTTATTATTTAAAATCTGGTTTATGATTGGCAAGGGAAGAGGTTTACTTTTATGACAAAAATGTAAGAGATTAATATTGTTTGTTGATTTTGTTTCTTCCTGACTTTTCATTGCCATTTTATGACATAATTTTTAAAACTTTAATATTCTAAATGGGATAACAAAAGGGTATTGGAAATAATTCTAGAGGTTTTCAGACACAGGCTGACATGCACATCTTACATTTTCTTCTATTGCCTTTTATTTTAAAGAACAGTGTTGTTTTTTTCTCAACTCAATTTTATTTAAAATAATGGCCTTAAGAAACTGTGTGTTGTACAAAATTTAATTAAGATATGTTTGTCTTAGTAGAATGTCATTCTTGATCTAAATAAGAAAATACTGTTTCTGTATTTTTGCATAGCAGCCAGTCTACATCATTATCATTATTTTTATGAATTGAGAAAGTAGAACATAATTTAATACTTTGGTTTATTCACCATCGAGGTCTGGATTTTTCTCCATGTATTTATTCCACGTTTAAGAAGTTGAACATTTTAGATTATAACTGTGATAGATAAATCCCTTGGCATCTCACAAAAGTATGTAGAATATAATTTTATCTTCTCTTATGGTGAAATTTAAAGTAGAAGTAGATTCCAGTCTTGGCCCTGCTAGTTCTGATGTGAATGTGATCGAGATGTTGAACCTTTTTGACCACTGTTTCACATCTGAAAGGTGGGAACAATATTGTTGATACTTTGAGAGATTGTTGTAAGAATTAGAAATGAAGAGTAACTCAAAATGATACTCAGGATAGTACTTGGAATAAAGGAACCTACAAACATCCCTATTATCATATATATTGTACCTCTGTTAATATAGTGCTATCCTATTACATGTTTATGCCCTAAGGTGCTAATAAGAATTGATGCTGTAGTGGGCCTCTGCCCATCTAACTAAATGGTCCTAGATTGCTGTTTGCATGTTTCAGATCAGAACAGGCACTTGCAGTGAATTTCACTAGTTACTGAAGTCCACGGGCTTGATTGCATGGATTTTAGGATTGCCCCTGTCCACCCATAGACCTATTTTGAATCTTGATTCTTCTTAGCTGCCTTCTGAGGAGATAAGGTAGTATATAGTTAACAAATGGGCAAGATTTAATATTCTAAAGTCCATAATTCATCCAAAAAAATGTGTGTTTATAACTAATACCTTTAGGCATTGTAATACCAACTCACTTTAATATGTATTCATCACAGTGATGGAAATTATAGGAAAAATTACCAATTCAATTTAAATCTAAATAACTGTTTTGAAATTAATATTTTTACAGAGCTCATTTAAAAATATTTTTAAAGCTTTATTGAAATATAGTTAACATACAATAAGCTGTATGTATTTAAAGTGTGCAATTGGCTAAGTCTTAATAATGATTCCTATGAAACTATCACAACCAAAGTAATGAACCTATCCATCACCCACAAAAGTTTTTGTGATCCCTCTCTCCTGACCCTCACAGCTCTATTTCCCAAACAAACACTAATCTGTTAACTATAGTTGCATTTTCTAGGTTTTTATATAAGTAGAATCATATATCGTAATTTTATATGTATTACAAGGTTATGGGTTCAAGTTGATAATTTTTGCATATAGATATCCAATTGTTTTAGCAACATTTGCTTGAAAAGGCTATTCTACTTTTTTTAATTTTTATTTCAGGGAGGAAGGGAGAGGGAGAGAGAAATATCAATGATGAGAGAGAATTATTGATCAGCTGCCTCCTGCATGGCCCCCACTGAGGATTGAGCCCACAACCTAGGCATGTGCCCTCACCTGGAATCGAACCATTGTCTGGTTCATAGGTCGACACTCAGCCATTGAGCCACACTGGTCATGCTATCCTTCTACTCTTAATTTGCCGAGCGTCTTTGTCATGAGGGGTGTTGAAGTTTTGTCAGGTGCTTCTTTGCATCTATGGAGATGATCCTATGGTGGTTCTCCTTACTCCTGTTAGTATGCTGTATGTATACTTTGATTTCTCTGTACTAAAACACCCTTGCATTTCTAGGGTAAATCCCATTTGGTTATAGTGTGTAATCCTTCTTAATGTGCCATCAGATATGGTTTAGTCATATTTTGTTGAGGATTTTTGTATCTGTACTCATAAGGAATATTGATCTGTAATTTTCTTATGGAATCTTTCTCTGGCTTTGGTATCAGGATGCTGCTGGCACCATAGAATGTTGTTCTCTTATTAAATAAATAAAGTGTTCTCATTATTTTTTTTTTTTGAAGAGTTAGAATAGGATTGATGTTTTAAAAAAATTTTATTTTCTAAATTTGTTGGGGAGACATTATTTAATAAAAGTTATATAGGTTTTAGGTGTATCATTCTATAACATATCATCTATATATTGCATTGTGTGTTCACTGCCCCAAGTCCAATCTCCTTCCATCATTTTAAAGCTGTGTAAATTGCCATAAATAATACCATGGTTTTAAATATCACTTGTACATACATGGCTTCCAAATTTATACCTTCAGCTAGATCTCTTCCCAAAACTTTAGCCTTATATATCCAACTGCTCATCTCACATCTCACACTGGTCCTCTTGAAAGAAAGAAACTCTTGACCGCATGGCCAAAACTAAACTCCAAACTCCCTATGTCACTCCTCAATCCCCACTCCATATCTGCTGCTCCCACAATCTTCCTCATCTCAGTAAATGGCAGCTCCATTCTTTTGTTTGCCCAGGCCAGAAACCTTGGAGTCATCCTTACCTCTCTCTTTCATATTTATCTGTCATTCCACCAGTAAATCCTGTTGGCTATGTGTTTAAAATACTTGCAGAATCTGACAGCTGTTCATCACCTTACCAATATTCTGTCCAGGCCACCAATGTCAGCCGAGGTTACTGTGATCACTTCCTAGTGATCTGATTTCTTCTTTGCCCTCTTACAGTTCTTCTGAGGACAGCACCATGGAGACCCTTTACAGTAAAAAGTCAGGTCACACTCAGTACCATCCAGAGATGGCTTCCCATCTGATTGGAAGCGAAAGCCTGAGTCCTCAATGGTAGTCTTCTGCTTCCTACCTAATAGGATCCCTCTCTGACTTCATCTCTTACTTCTCTCCCCCCTTTTTTTCCAGCTCCAGTCACACTGCCTTCTGCTGTTTCTCAAACATGTTATTCATACTCTGACCCTAGAGACTTTGACTTACTAGTATTTCTTAGTGAAACAGTTTTCCCTGATATCCATGTAGTTTAGTCTTCCACTTGCTTTGGACTCTATTTTTCACGAGTCGTCTTCTCGGTGAGATCTTCTGTGACCATCCTGTGGAGTCTGAAGCCCATTTTTCTTTCCCTAGTACTTTTCACGTATATTTGGTGTGTTTATTCTCTCTCCCTTTACTGCAGTGTAAGCTTCATGAAGACAGAGACTACTTTGGTATCAATTATATTTCCACTGTCTAGAGATGGGCACACAAAGAAATGAATTGAGTTTTAATTTTAGCATTGCCATAATTTTATCATTGCAATATTGAAATTAGCATATTCATAAAGTAAAATTCATCTCAATTGCTTGTATCAGTATTCATTATTTTTTTATTGCTGAATAGTATTCATTGTGAATATACACAGTTTCGTTATTTATCTATTGATGAATTTGGATTGCTACTGTTTATAGCTAGTATGATTAAAGTTGCCAGGAACAGTGCAGGCAGTGTTTGTATAGGCATCTTTTTTCATTTCTTTTAGCTATATATCTAGGAATGAAATTGCTGGCTTACAGGGTAGATGGATATTGAACTTTATAAGAAATTGTCGAGAGGGTCGGACCTGCATTACCACCATCCAAAACTGAAATATCATTGCTGGCATGTACACATAAGGAACTGTTTGACATAGAAATTGGGACTCAGAAGAACTGTTGGCCCAGAAAGAAACTCACTACAGACTGATTCATTTGCCTCTCAGCATAACCATTATTGCTTATCTCATTTTTGGTTCATATAAGTGTATATTTAGTATCACATGAGCTCACTCATTTAGGGGAAATGATGAACAACATAGAATGATGATCAAGAACAGACCTGGAGACAGGGAAGCATCGATCAGACTGTCGGACCTCAGAGGGAAGGTAGGGGAGGGTGGGAGTAAGGGGGAGAGATCAACCAAAGGACTTGTATGCATGCATATGAACCTAACCAGTGGTCTCAGACAACAGGGGGGTGGGGGCATTCGTGGAGGGGTTTGGGATGGGAATGGGGGGGATGAGGACAAATATGTGATAGCTTAATCAATAAATTAAAAAGAAGAAAAAAAAGAAATTGTCCAACAGTGCTCTAATTGGGTTTGACTATATCCACCAATAGTGTATGTAGTTTCAGTTACTCCAAATCCTTTTAGTTGTAAGTATTCTGTTGAGTGAAATGGTAGCATAGTGGTTTTAATAGCAGACAAAATAAACTTTAAGGCAAAGATATCTCATTGTCATTTAATTTGCATTTCTCTCATAATACCTTTTGCCTTAAAGTCTATTTTGTCTGCTATAAATGTTGCCACATTAGCTTTCTTTTGGTTAGTGTTTTCATGAAACATCTTTTTGGTTTCTTAGGATATATTCTCAGGAAGTGGAATCAGTGAATAAGGCAGTTCCATTTTTAATTTTTTTGAGATAACTCTGAATTGAGAAGTCAAAGATATTTCTTCCTGTTGTTCCCTTAGATCAGTGGTCGGCAAACTCATTAGTCAACAGAGCCAAATATCAACAGTACAACGATTTAAATTTCTTTTGAGAGCCAAATTTTTTAAACTTAAGCTTCTTCTTATGCCACTTCTTCAAAATAGACTTGCCCAGGCCATGGTATTTTGTGGAAGAGCCACACTCAAGGGGCCCAAGAGCCGCATGTGAGTCGTGAGCCGCAGTTTGCCGACCACAGCCTTAGATGAATGGCTCTTACCTGAGAGTGATTTTGCCTTCCTCTTAGCCCCTCCCCAGGGGACATTTGGTAATGTAAGCATATGTGCAGTGTCCTCAAAAAATATACACACTTTGAATAATTATAAAGGCAATATTTATTAAAATATATTTCATTTTCAAAATGCAATATAGACTCTACAGACATTGCTTGTATACTTTTTGGGGGGACACCTTGCATTTTGATTGTCTCAATCTGTTTGGGAAGAAGATATGCTACTGACATTTGGTGGGTGCTGTAGTTGCTTCTAACCTTCCTACAATGCACAGAATAGTTCCTTACAACAAAAAATTGTCTGACTCAAAATGTCAGTAGTGCCAAGATTGAGAAGCTGTGTCTTATTTTTTTCTGGTTACTTACGAAATTTCCTCATTACTTTTTATTTTCCAGTGGTTTGATTATGATACGCCTTTTTCCTTCCTGGGATGGATTTTAATTCCTTCTTACAAGACACTATCTTTTTATCCATTTGGTTATGTTCTCATCTTTTTTCTTGAACATATTCATCATAGTTACTTTGATGACATAGTTACTCTTTGAATGACTTTGGATCTGCTTCTCTTGATTATTAGCTACTTTGCTTGCTTATTTGCATGCCTAGTAATTTTTAATTGTATGTTGAACATTATGAGTGAAAATATGATAGGGGCTGTGAATTATTTTTCTTTGAAAGATGTTGAATTTTTTGTTCTGATAGGCAGTTAAATTGTCAGCTCTTCACTTTTATCTTGTCTGGGCCTGGTTTAGTGTTTTGTTAGGTTTGGTCTATTTTAGTTTTACTTATAGTTCTAGGGTGTGATCCTTCTTCCTACGTGTAGCCTTCGTGGGGTTACACCTGAATGTCTGAGATCTTACACCGAGGTCTCTCAGCTTGGGCTGGGCTCCAATGCCCAACAGTTGTCTAGTGCTGAACTTTAGAATCTCAGCTTCCAGCATCTGTGTCCACTGACCTTTGGGACTCAGCTTCCTGGCATCTGTTTCCCACAGTGTCTCCTGATTCCTCTTATGCTTGTGCAGTCTTGGAGATGATCAGGAATTGACAACATTTTCTAAGCAGACTTCTGGGGTTCCCTTTCCCTGGCTAACCTCTACCTACCAGCCTGTCCCTCCAATCCTAGCCACCTTTCCCTAGAGCTGTGGTCTCTGTTCCCTCCACCCAGTGAGACCGCTGGTCTGTGTTTGACTCAGTTTAATATATAACTCCCAGGAAATGCTCCCTGGGAACATTATTGGGGGAAATACCTCATGTTTCTCTCGCAGGGATTCCAGCCTTCTGTTGATTATAGCCCATGCTTACAGTTGTTTTATATATTTTATCCAGATTTTAAAGATATTTATGATTGGACATTAATTCTCAGACTAGCTATTCTCCATCATCAGAATGTGAAGTCCCTCCATTTTTTAAATAGATTAACTGATTTTTAAAGTTAGATATATTATTTTTTATTTATTTTATTCTAGAAGAAACAGTTTGGTTTGGTTGTCATTATGGAGTAAGTTCTATATTTCATAGAAATAAGTGTTAATTGGGAAAACAGCTTATGGTAGTTAACTTACTACACATCACTTGGTATCTTAGTTACCCGCTGTGTTTTTTGTGCTTACAGGAATCATTTGTTGCAGTTTGCCTTAGAGTCACCACCCATTTCTCCTGCTTCTGCCTCTTCAAAGCATCTTGCTGCCAAAGCCCACACTCCTGTGGCCTTCAAACAGTCTGTAAAGCAAGGAAGCAGGTTAATGGAGAATTTCTTGATCAGAGAAACTAATGGTTCTACGTCAGAGTTGTTGATAAATGAGAAGGAAAACAAATTCAGCTCTCAAAGAGAGGTGAGCAGTTCTGCAAAGACCAAAGAGACGCCTTTAGAAAGGACAGCTCCAAGCATTGCGGATGCTAATGTTCCGGAGGCACCCTCTACATCCACTTTGAAACAAGTTACCAAAGGTAGGAATGATTTTCACGTGTATTTTCTGACTCAGTGGGAATCCTCTTATCCGCATTCCAGATGAATAAATAAGCAGCATTTTAGACTCTTTCCCGAGCCTAACCACTTTGGTTTTGTTAGATAATATTGATAGCTCATATCACTAAAGTCTGACAACACATGTTTTCTGGACTGTTTGTGTAATTTGCTTAACTTTTTGTTGAGTGGGTCAGCTTGTTTATTGCTTCATGTCTGTTCTTGCCAGTGAAGTTTAGAGGACGCTGGGTCTTAGACATCTTTGGTACACTCATAGCACACACAGTGCAGGCTATTAGTTGTTATTAAATTTAGATTGACAGTTTATTAGTATGCAAGTATTTAAAATTCATAAAGGTATGTGAATTTTACCTGCATTTCCTAGCATACTTTATATTTGGTCAGTCTGTCAATTCACAGTTCTTATAGTAGTATTTATAGCTTGATAGTTAATTGTTTCCTTTAGCAACATTATTTTTTCAAATGAAATCTTACAAGGAACCGTAATTTGAAAAAGAGATAGAAGAGATACAATAGGCCCTGCTGCCTTAGAGATGTGCTGCTCCACCTGCTCTTCCCCTTCGTCCTGCCTGTTACCCAAAGGGGCGGCTAGGCCCTCAGACAGCACCACACATCATCACAATCCATGAAACAGTTGGAGAATGATTGCGTTTTCCTAATTTTAACTTACAAGCAAGAGCTAAATTAACCAATTTGTAGCCATTGATAAATTGAGCAGTAATTGGCTTAAACCAGTAAATGCTTTGATCTAGCTGCACCATCACCCCTTTATCCTGCCCCCAGCTAAGTGTGTTTTCCTCAGGTATTATGATTGCTTCGGAGCTAACATGCAGTAATGCCTCCTAAGTATTGGGAAAACCTAAGTTTAGTTTTATAGTTTGGTCACATCTTGGTAGAAAAGGTTTAATCAAAGCATTTTCTAATAAACACATTTCCACACTTTTCTGTAGTCTTCTTCTAGGCCCAGGATTTGAATTATATGACTTTCCCCAATAACTTGTAACCTGTCTGACATTACCCAGTAATCTGTCTGTCCCACTCTGATTGCCTGGAGAGGTCATTCTTTCTCTCTTCTGTTTTTCTAAGTACATGTAATGTTGGAATTCTGTTTATTATCTTAATCTCTGAAAATCTATGCTATAATACTTTTGCCCATTTTACAAGCTATAAAGTCTTTCTTTCTTTCTTTCTTAAAAAAAAAAAATGCAGTGGACTGTCCTGTTTGTGGGGTCAGTATTCTAGAAGATCACATCAATAAGCACTTGGACAGCTGTTTGTCCCGTGAAGAGAAGAAGGAGAGCCTCAGAAGGTAAGAAAGTTAAGCATAACCAGTGAGTGGCTTTAGCTGGGTGCTTCATATGCTTTATACATCTGGGGCAGAAAATATAATGTTCATTGTATCCTAGTGACCAGTTATCCAAGTCCCTCTCCCACATGTTCTTTCCTTTACTCCTGCTAGTTGACACTTCCATTTCCTTTGCCAAATAGGATTAACTATAGAATTTAACTGCTAATAAAAATTGACTTAATAAGAAAATTATTGACTTAGAATTAAATTTTATTTTAACTTGTTTTCTTCCCTTAAAACTTTAGAACTACCATAAAGCTCCTTAGGCAAAGAAAGCAAGTTTAGACTCTGAATATAGAACATATAAAATCTTTCTTTTGTTCTTAGGATGCCCGTAAGTTTTAAAATTTAAAAAAAAGGGGGGGCGGTTTTCAAAAACAAAACTTGTTTTTTTTCCCCAATAGGCAATTATCTACCTATAACATTAAAAGGTACAAAAGGGTATGTGTGAAATGGAATGTCCTCTTGCTCCAGCCCCCAACCACCAGGGGGCATAGGTAGTAAGTAGTCAACTCACTGTTTGCACCCAAACTTCCGTTTTGCCTCCTTTATATATCAAAGTCACAGTAATTTATTGATGCAGGCCACTGTTATTATACATACAAATTGGGAATGAAATTTTAGTCAAAGATATATTGCAAGGTGTTAGGGAATCTGAAGTTAATGAAGATAATAAGCAGAAGCTATAAATTTGAGGAGTCCAGTGATGAAGCAAAGAGAAATGAGATGATAGTCTGAGAAAGGAGTAAACATCAAGATCAAGGAAGATTTTATTTTTTTAAAATAGAAATTGGTTAAGCTTTCAGTCTCTCTCTTTCCACTGTCTCCAGGGAGAGAACAGATGATAGATGAAACAAGGTTGGGAGCATAAGAGATGAAGAGTCCAGTCATGAAGATGCCCTTGATGTATAGAAAGAACCCTTCTTCTGAAGGGAGGGGAGGGGGGGTAGATGATAATTCAGAGAGATTGGAAAAGGAGAGGAGGGAAACTGAAGAAATTGATGGTATCGGGGAGTGGGGTGAGTAGAATGATTGGCTCTTACTGTTTGGTCTGTTTTGAAGGACTTGGAAGAGTATTTTCCAAAAACCATGTTAGTAAGACAGGACCGTTTACTATTTTTTGTGATTAAAGATAAAATGGTGTCACAATTTTTATGAATAATTATGGAGTGAATTCAGGTTCCGGGGGACAAACTCATGCTGTTATAACTTACAAAAGGTAGCATATGCAGCATGATAATGCTTTATTGATTTACAGTGGGGCGTTAATTGACAGTTCTTATTGCAGTGTTTCTAGTTTGATAGTTAATGCACCTTTTTCAAGTAAAATCTAGCAGTGAACTAAAACCTATGACATAGGTAGCATTGGCTGCACTGCATTAAAGCAGAGATGGAGGGGGCTGTACTGCTTCCCCTGACCTCCCCCTTCGCCCTGCCCCTTACCCATGGTGGCCTCAGGGCCCAAGGTGCCTCCACAGATTCCTGCGCAGTCTTGTGTGCACAGCACTCCCTCCCAGTGGGCAAATTTGTTGACCAGAATAAAATTTAGGTGTTTTTTTTCTTCAGGTTACTTTGTTAGTTGAGATTTGGAATAAATGAAGCTGTGTCATGCCAAGGATTATTTTCCATAAGCCATGAGAATCTGATGACCTGCATTTCTCTTAATGTTTCTTCTTTAAGAAAGAGTTGGGAACAAAGAGGCTGAGCATTTTCTCCTGAAAAGTTAGGAATCAACACTGATACCTTGCTTAGACTGCTGTTTTACTAGATGCATCCATCATATTTCTTCTAGCATATTTAACTCTTTCAATTAATTCGAAGACATACTCATCCATGTATAATTAAGTTCAAGTTGCACTAGTTGTTCCAGCCCTGCTCCATGGGATGCTGTAGTCCTGCCAGTTGCTGTGTTGTGCAGCTGAGAAGCACCGCAAACTGTTACTCTCCCTCAGGAAGACCATACTAGTTATTGATTGAAGGCTCTGAGAAGTCCTACATTAAAGGGCATTGTTGGATTTTTCTTTAATCCAGTAACTTCTAAATCTATTTCACTCCCAAAACTACTTGTCCTCATAACTTATATCTTGTGAAACTAGTGTCTGTGAAGATGCACTTAGGGAAATATTGAGCCATATTTAAAAAAATATATATTTTATTGATTTTTTACAGAGAGGAAGGGAGAAGGATAGAGAAACATCAACCAGCTGCCTCTTGCACACCCCCTACTGGGGATGTGCCCGCAACCAATGTACATGCCCTTGACCGGAATCGAACCCGGGACCTTTCAGTCTGCAGACCGACGCTCTACCACTGAGCCAAACCGGTTCGGCTTGAGCCACATTTCTAAAGAACTTACATCTTGGCCCTGGGGTCTGTTCACATAAAAGAGTCTCTGACATGTAAAAATTTTTCTCCACAACACCCTGGCAGGCCATTCCTCGATGTCCATTCTGTGCAGATTCATATCAGAGTTGATTCAAAGAATGCTCTTTCTTTTGATGTCTTCAGATTCTCAGGACTCTTACTTCATTATTCCGTTTCACTAAGTCATGGAAGAAAGATCAGTGTCGTTTTCATGTTTTAGGAAACATTTATCAAGCTTCAGATTTAACATTCTTGGTAGAAATTGTTGATTTCTGCTGGTGCTTTTCATTGTAAATGCTAGCGAACAGTACAGTTTTTTATTAGATTTCATAGTCATAAATTAATCATCTATCCTTGATCAAATAAATATCAATATTTTAGATATACAGACTTAGTGATTTGTTCCTCACAATGTGCTTTATAAATTCATACAGAATGTTTCAGCTCTGACTACCTACTGAGATTTTATTTAGTCATAATTGTATCAGTCTCATTGAGTTCAATAGGCTGTCTATTATAAGAAGTGCAATTTTCAGGAAAAAATGTAATTTGTTGAGGTTTTATAGGTCTTTCTGCAATTAAATAGTTATCTCTGGCTTTTAGACTTTATTAGAACATAAAATAAACAATTTATCCAAGGAATAATTTAGTAGAGAAATGTCTATTTTCAGTCGGTATATCACTACCATATCTCTCTATTTGGATCAGATTTACCCTGTTAAACCTTATTGATATAGATTTACGGCTTCACTTCAGGACCAAGTGAGTTGGGGGTGATGTGGCGAAGTGACTGAGAATCTGCATTCTAAATAAGCTGTCCTGGGGAAAGGGGAGCGCTATGATATACACTCAAATTTGGGTAGCATGACCTTTTATTAATAAGTATATGGAAGTCTTTTGAATAATCTTATAGGTTTTTTTTTTTTAAATAAACCTATTGCTTTCAACTTCCTATTAATTTTTTCCTTAACGTTTTATAGTCTTATTTAAAAATGATTTGTACTGACTGCCTTGAATACATATTTACTAAGCACCTAAATGTCATAGCATTGAGTCAGGTGATGCACTCGGAGAAACAGATTACAATCAGATTAAAACTCATTAACTTGTTCATGTTTATAAAGTTGCCTCAATTATTGATATCCATAGGTAGTTTGAATTCTGTTCCATTTTATTTATCTTTATTTATTTTTTATTTTTCTGGACCTTTCAGACCAGCTGGAGAAGCACTTGGTGCGAATTCTGTTCCATTTTAACAAATGTTTAATAACATATTTTGGAGGGAGTAAAAGAAAGTCATTTAATAGGGTTTATTATATTTAAAAATTGTATTTTAATGCTGATCAGTATATTAATTATGAAAGTAGAATGAAGAGCCAGGTGGTGATTTTGATGATATACTTCTTTTTAAAAAAATACATTTTATTGATTTTTTTACAGAGAGGGAGAGTGAGGGATAGAGAGTTAGAAACATCGATGAGAGAGAATCAACGATCAGCTGCCTCCTGCATTCCCCCTACTGGGTATGTGCTCGCAACCAAGGTACATGCCCTTGACCGGAATCGAACCCGGGACCTCTCAGTCCACAGGCTGACACTCTATCCACTGAGCCAAACCAGTTTTGGCTGATATACTTCTTGCAATGCCTTATATACAGTATTTGTTAGTATAATTAATTTAAGTTGAAGAGAACAAACCCCGGTTGTGTTTTTTGCTGTTGTTTTCAGTTGTGTTCTTTGAAGATGATACCACAAGAATATCATCTACCTGTCAATTTTCTGAGTTCTCTTTTCATTGGTGGTAATGAGTTGGGCAAAGCTAATTGTCCCAACAGGTGTTCTTTTATTTCATCTACTGCTTTTGCAATATGATTGCCTTGAGTTTGAGGGGCACTTTTGCCTGTAGAGCAAAACTTCTTCTAAAGAAGCTATCTATAATAATAAAAGCGTTATATGCTAATTAGATCGGACGTCCTTCCTGAGGAAGCTGTAGCAGGCAGAGGCCAAGGCAGAGGCATCCGCCTTGGTGGTGGGGGTCAAACTCCTTGCACGAATTTCGTGCATCAGGCCTCTAGTATAATACATGATAATAGTGTTAAATCCATAGCTTAATACTCAATAGCATTTGTATTGTAATCATCTGATATAACTGGCTTTTATAGAGATTTTGCATGGAAACTATAGGTACATTTTAGGAAAAGCGTGCTATAAAGTGATAGAGAATTGCATAAATCTGTGTAAGTGTGGTTCTCATAGCATATAGTTCACAAGCCTTCTATGTGAGGCCCAGGTCTGCATCTTTAGGACTGACCTCTTTCTGACACATAAGTTTCTCTAAGTTTGCTTAAAATAACCAGGAGTTCCATTCTTTGGCTCACTTAGACCCCTCAATCTGAATGTCCCCTGGCACCCCATATTGGTCATGTTGAACACTTTTAACTTTATTTGTAAATTCCATCCTTCTTTTTCCCATTTTTATCTTAATGATTGTGTTCTCTCAATCAACTGGTATTGAGTCAAAAGGTAAATTACTATTTTACATGCAAAGCATTTGATGATTCACAACCCTCAGTGACCTCTTTTTTTCCTCTTTTTAGTTCTGTTCACAAAAGGAAGCCGCTGCCCAAAACTGTATATAGTTTGCTATCAGATCGTGATTTAAAGAAAAAGCTAAAACAGCATGGATTATCTACTCAAGGAAGTAAACAACAGCTCATTAAAAGGCACCAAGAATTTGTTCACATGTATAATGCCCAGTGTGATGCTTTGCATCCTAAATCAGGTAAAGCAATAAAACAATGAGTTATGCGTGTCCTGGGTAAAGCCTTTGTGTAGCTAATGGATTATAAACCATAGAAAAAACCTTTTTATAGATACATTTTTTAAAATAGGTAAGATATGCAAATGTATTTCTTCAGAAGGTACTACAATAGATACACTATGATAGCCAGTCTTTCTCTCAGCCAGTCTCAGTCCCCATTCCCTTCTCAGAAGTGGTTTCTGCTGCCAGAGTCTTATGTGTCTTTCCAGAGATAGTGTGGCATAGAGTTGATCTGGAGAACCTGGGTTATAGTCCCATCTTTGCAACTCTAAGACTGCGTGACTTTGGGGAAGTGCCTTACGTTTCTTATCTCAGTTTTCTCATCCATAAAATAAGGGTTATGACACTACCTACTTCATAGTGTTTTTGAGAGGAATTAATGAAAAAATTTATGTAAAATGCCTAGCATAGTGCCTTAGCAAGTATTTAGTGTTCAGTAAATGTTACCATTATGATTATTGTAGGTAAACATATGTTCTTGATCATTATTGTTTTATAAAATTGTTATATTTTATAGTCAAGCTGCCACATAACATTTTGGTTAACGATGGGTCGCAGATAGGACAGTGGTTTCTTAAGATTGTAATGGAGGTGAAAAATTCCTATGGCCTAATGATGATGTAGTTGTTGAAATGTCATATTGTAACCTAATATTGTATTGCATTACACTAATACTTACCATTATGTTACAGTTGCCTAGTAGCATGTACAGGCTTGTAGCCTAGGAGCAATAGGCTATACCCTTTAGCCTAGGTGTGCAGCAGGCTTTACCATCTAGGTTTGTGTAAGTGCACTCTGATATTTGCACAACAAAATCGCCTAATGGCACATTTCTCACAGTGTATCCCTGTTAAGCAGTGCATGACTATACACACTGTTTAACCATTTGTTCCTTCCACTTAACCACAGACATATTTCAGAGTTCCTTCAGTTATGAGCATATATAGAATTGTCAATTTAAAAAAATTAAAGTATACTATGTTAACAGAAAAAATACACAAATTATAAGTGTATTGCTTGGTGAATTATTATGAAATAAGTTTCACAAAGGACAAATGTCTTTGTAATTTATTCTTATAAACGGAATAATAGATAGCTTATATAAATTATTTGAGTCTGTATTTGCGCAACATTATAAGTTTCATCCATGTTTTTGTGTACATTTGTGATTTTGTTGTTACTGTTGAGTATTCTAATCTATAGTGATATCCAATCCATGGTTAATGGACATTTGAATTTTTCCATTCTTTGGCTCATCAAAATTATGGTGCTATGAATAATCTCTGTGTATCTCTGAATATTCAGACACACAAATTTTTTGAATATACGTACCTAGGAATGGAATAGTATGTTTTTGCAGATGTTCAGCTTTTGTGGATACAGCCGAGAACTCGGTACCAATGTACATTCTCATCAGGAGGATGTGAGAGTTCCAGTTTTTCCACATTCTTAACAACATTAGTTTAGTCAATTTTCCATTTTGGCTCTTCTAATGGATCCATTTGGATCTTTCATTATGGTTTTAATTCAAATTTCCCTAATGATTTATAATGTTCAGCACATTTTTATATGGTTATTGGCCATCTGGATATCCTCTTTGGTAAAACACCCATTTAGGTCTTATGCCCAATTTTTCTATGCTGTGGATCTATTTTTTCTTATTTATTTGTGGGAATACATGAAATTTTCTGAATAAACAAATCTTGCTGGATGTATATATATATTAAATCCCTTCTTCCATTTCACCTTTTCATTGTTATTGGTTTCAGTTGAGAAGTTCTTAATTTCAATATAATCCAATTGGTTGCATTTTTCTTTTTGCTGTATGCTTTTTATATCCTTGCCTACCACAAGATCATGGGAATCTTCTCTTGTTTTCTTCTAAAAGTTTTATTGTTACTGCTTTTACATTTTGACCTAAAGTTTATTTGAGATGATTTTTGCATATGTTGTGAATTATGGAGCAAAATTCTTTTGTGTGTGTTTTTTCCATATAGATAGCCATTTGACACAGCATCATTTATTGAAAAACCATTTTTCCCCAGTGAATTGTCAGTATGTCTTTGTTGACAGTCAGCTAACTATATGTGTCTCTGGACATTGTTTATCCAGTCATTTATTTATCATCAGTGTACTGTCTTAATTTTAATTTATAATAGATCTTATTATCTTGTCTGGTAATGTACTTCCTCCAGCTTTGCTGTTTATTGAGATTGCCTCAGTTTTTCTAGACCCTTTGCATTTCCATATAAATTTTAGAATAAGCTTGTAAATATTCATCAAGAAAAAACCTGCTCGGATTGGGATTACATTGAGTTTATAGATCAATTTGGGAAAAGTTGATAGCTATACATTATCTTCCAATTCATGAATTTAGTTTATTTCCAACCAACTGAGCCACCTGGCTAGGACTTCATGAGTGTATTTTAAAAATTGAGGTATAATTTACTTATGATGTAATTAATCATTTTAAAGTGTATAGTTTAATAAATTTTGACAAATGTATATATAGTCATTTAGCCATCACTTCAATTAAAATTATGCAACCCCAAAATTTTTTCTGCCTCTTTGCAGTAAATTTCCTCTCCCTTACCCTAGACCACATGTGTCAAACACAAGGCCCGCGGGCCAAATCCGTCCCGCCAGGCCTTGCAATGTGGCCCGCACCGCGCTGTCATCACTACACTCGCTGCGTTTCCATCAAAATTACAGTTTATGACTGTTCAGTAAACCATTCAGTCCGTGATTTAGGCTGGATTTTAGATTTTGGCCCCTTCTCTGATTGAGTTTGACACCCCTACCCTAGACCCTGAGAAATACTGATTTTTTTTTTTAATTTAAAAAAAATTTTAAATTTTTTACGTAGAGTAAGGGAGAGGGATAGAGAGTTAGAAACACTGATAAGAGAGAAACACTGATCAGCTTCCTCCTGCACACTCCCTACTGGGGATGTGCCTGCAACTAAAGTACATGCCCTTGACCGGAATCGAATCTGGGATCCTTGAGCCCGGAGGCCGACACTTTATCCACTGAGCCAAATCCATTAGGGCAATACTGATTCTTTTATGTCCCTGAAGTTTTGCCTTTTCTAAAATGCCAGATAAATGGTATTAATACAAATGGCACAGCATATCATTCTTTTTTTGTATCTGGCTTCTTTCACTCAGCACAGTACTTTTGAGGTTTGTCCCTGTTGTTGTATTTATTGTATGGCTATATTGCGTATTAATAGATGCCTAGGCTGTCTCCAGTTTTTGGCACTTATGGGTAAAGCTGTCATGATCACGGGCTTACAGATTTTTGCATTTCTCTGGGATAAATATCCAGGAGTAGAATTGCTGTGTCACGTGGGTTATGTATACTTAAAAATATAAAAAATTTCCAGCCTGTTTTTTTTTTTTTTTTAATTTATTGATTTTTCAGAGAGGAAGAGAGAGGGATAGAGAGTTAGAAACATTGATGAGAGAGAATCATCGATCAGCTGCCTCTTGCACACCCCCTTTTGGGGATGTCCCTGCAACCAAGGAACATGCCCTTGACTGGAATCGAACCTGGGATCTTTCAGTCCGCCGGCTGACGCTCTATCCACTGAGCCAAATCGGTCCCGGCCCAGCCTGTTTTTTAATGGCTACATCATTTCGTCTGCTGTGAGAAGTTCATTAGCTCTTTTCAGCCTTTAACTTGTTTTTAGGACTGAGGGGCAACTTCCAGGCTTTTTACAAGCAGAGCTGGAAACTGGAAGTTCATTTCATTTAAATTAATACTAATAGAAGTCTGTATAAAAACATTTTAATACCATATAAATATACCATAAAAAACAGGTGGCTTTCTGTGACTGACTTCTTTCACTTAACATATTTTCAAGATTTATCCATGGTCAGTACCTCATTTGTTTTTATTGCTGAACAATATTTCATTGTATGGATATGCCACATTTTTTGCCCATTCATCAATTGATTGACATCTGGGATTTTTCCACATTTTGGCTGTTATGGCTAATCCTGCTGTGAACATTCTTGTACACGCTTTTATGTGAACATACATTTTTATTTCTCTTGGATATGTACTTAGGAATGGAATTGCTGTGTCAGCTGGTAACTCTCTGAACATTTTGAGGAATTGCCAGACTGTTTTCCAGTGTGGCTACAACATTTTACATCCCACTAGTGGTGCGTGAGGGTTCCAGTTTCTTTACATAGTTGCTATGTTATTCTGTCTTTTCTATTACAACCATCCTAGTGGGTGTGAAGTGATATGTAATTATGCTTTTGATTTGCATTACATTGATTTTTGAATATTAAGCACACCATTTGTCTTTAGCAAGTAATTTATCCATTTTATATAAGTTGATGAATTTATAGTTTACCAACTTAAAAAAATAATATTCCTTCATTAGCCTTATAATGTCTGTGGGATCTGTGGTAATGTCCTGTCTTTCATTTTTGATATTAGAAATGTGTCTTCCTTTTGTTGTTTTTTTCTTCTTGGTTGGATTACTTATAGGTTAACAATTTCATTGATCTTTTCAAAGAACCAACTATCAATTTCATTTCTTTTCTCATTTTTTGTCTATTTTGTATTTCATTGAATTCCACTTTTTTCTTTTTTGTTTTCATTGAATTGAATTGTGACCTTCTGGTTCCATAGGTTGACACTCAGCCACTGAGCATGCCAGCTGGGCTACATATTTTTTTTTAGTCTGAGAGTAAGTTGTATAATCTTAACTCTTTTGTTGTTGTTGTTGTTAATCCTTACTTGGAGATATTTTTTCCATTGAGTTTTAGAGAGAGTGGAAGGGAGGGAAGAAGGGAGAGGAAGTGGGGAGAGAGAGAAACATTGACTGATTGGTTGCCTCCTGCATGTGCCCCAACCAGGCTTGGTATTGAATCTGCAACTCAGGTACGTGCCCTTGACCAAGAATGGAACTTGAGACCCTTTGGTGCTCCAGGGGATGCTCTCACCACTGATTGGGACCCAACATCCAGGGCTAATCTTGACTCTTTATCCCTAAATATTTATTGTGTATTTCCTAAGAAAAAGGATATTCTTTCTTATATAATTATCAATCTCAGTAAATTAAACTTGGTTACAGTATTTTATTATCTCAATTCCGGTTTCAGCAATGGACCCAAAAATGGCTTTGTAGATTTTCTTTCCCTCCAGTGATGATCTGGTTTTGGATCACATACTGCATTCAGTTGTAATATCTGTTCAATCTTTTTCACTTTGGAACAATTCCTCAGCCTTTCTTTGTCTTTTTATGACATTGGCATTTTAAAAGAATATAGTCTTTGTGTGTGTTTTTTTCCTCCCACAAATAAAATGTTTCTCATTTTGACTTTGTCTAATATTTTCTTATAATAACATTCAGGTTGCACATTCCTGAATGTTGATGAATTTCTGGCTACCCCTTCCTGTATTTGATCAGTTTCAATACTCAATGAACACGATATAGTAATGTTCTGTCCTTTTCAGAACATCAGTCACAGCCAGAGGTTTTCAACATTTTTGTGCCCCTCAATTTGATTGCAGTTTTGATCATATTGTCAATTTCTCCATTGTATAGTCTTCCCCTTGATACTAATAAGAAGTCTGTATAAAAATATTTTAATACCATATAAATATTTTATGTATCATTAAAATTTTACCCCAGTATTTAGCATTTATTAGTAATTTTATCTTCTCTATGGTAGTTGCAAAATGATGATTTTCTAACTTCAGCACTACTTTCACATTTGCTGGTTGCCACTTGCCATGATTCTGAAAACAAAAGCCCTCTTGTTTTTCTTTCTTTGTCTACAATCAATGTAGACTCACATATTTATAACTTACTGTCACCCTTATATTGGCTTTATATTTTTTCAGATTTGGCTAGTGGGAGCTTCTTTATTTTATATAAATGTATTTTATACGTGTGTGTGTGTGTGTGTGTGTGTGTGTGTGTGTGTGTATCCTATCTAATAAAAGAGTAATATGCAAATTGACCATACCCCCGCTATGCCCACAAGCCAAACTCACTAGCTAATCAGGAGTGAATATGCAAATAAACACAACCAAGATGACTGCGGCCACAGAGAGCAGGAGGGAGGCTTGGGTTTTCCCGGCGATGAAGGAAACCAAGCTTTCTGCCTGCCTTTGCCAGCCTAAGCCTCCACTCAATGCTACAATGTTTCAATGATAGATGATAAATAAATCCCAACAAAATTAGTGGCAGCCTTGGAGCTGGATAGAGCAGGAGGCTAGGATTGCCCCTGGTGATGGAGGAAGCCAAGCTTCTGCAGCCCTGGTCAGCCTAGGTCTACACTCCAGGCTACAAAGTTTCAATTATAGAAGATAAATAAATCCCAACAGCAATGGCTGCCCCCACAGAGCGAGTAGAAGGCTTGGCTCTGCTCCAGGCTACAAAGTTTCAATTGTAGAATATAAATAAATTCCAGATACCAGAGCCTCGTTTGGGTCGCAGGGGGTGGTGGTGGAGGGGCATGGCCAGCCTGCAAACCACCACAGACCCCTTGCCCAGGCCGCCCCATGCCCCAAGGGAACCCCCATCCTGAATCCAGGACACCTTTCAGGGCAAACCAGCCTGCCCCCACCCATGCACCAGGCCTCTATCCTATCTAATAAAAGATAATATGCAGATTGACCATCACTCCAACACAAGATTGCTGCCTCCATGTGGTCAAAGATCCTGTTCCTATGTGGACACAAGATGGCCACCAGGGGAGGGCCATTAGGAGGGACCAGGCTTGCAAGGGAGGGCAGTTGTGGGCAATCAGGCAAGCAGGGGAGAGCAGTTTGAAGGGACCAAGCCTGCAAGGGAGGGCAGTTGGGGGCGATCAGGCAAGCAGGGGAGAACAGTTTGGAGGGACCAAGTCTGGAAGGGAGGGTAGTTGGGGCTGATCAAGCCTGCAGGGGAGGACAGTTCCGGGGGACCAAGCCTGCAGGGGAGAGCAGTTTGGGGGGACCAAGCCTGCAGGGCAGGACAGTTCAGGGGGACCAGGCCTGCAGGGGAGGGCAGTTGGGGGCGACCAGGCTGGCAGGGGAGCAGTTAGGCAGGCAGACAGGTGAGCAATTGGGAGCCAACAGTCTTGGATTGTGAGAAGGATGTCCGATAGTCGGATATCCTTCGAGGGGTATGAGATTAGAGAGGGTGCAGGCTGGACTGAGGGACACTCCAAACCCCCTCTCCATGCCCTGTGCACGAATTTTGTGCACCTGGCCTCGTGTGTGTGTGTGTGTGTGTGTGTGTGTGTGTGTGTGTATATAATTAGACCGGACGTCCTTCCGGGCGACCTTCTGGATGAAGCCAGGGCTGTGAGGGAAGCCCAGGTCCTCCGTGCCAGAGGGAAGTTGGTACCAGCCAGGGAAAGGAAGGCCTACCCTTGCACAATATTTGTGCATCGGGCCTTTAGTGTGTGTGTGTGTGTGTGTGTGTGTGTGTGTGTAGTATCAGCCATTTGCCTTTGGATCTTTGCTTATTTTTTTGCAAACCAAAATATGTTGCCTTTGCTTCTAGGTGTTTTCAACCTATGGAACTCAGGAATGTATTCATACATAAACATATGCATACATGTGTATGCACACATTTAAGTCCACTTGAAACCAAGAGAACATACTAACACTTCTAACCTCATAGGATTCTTCATTAACTTTCTCTCTTCCTTATTTGTATTTCTCTTTTTCCACAGGGAGAATCTTTCTTCCCAGGAGCATCAGGACATTTACTAATTATTCAAGTCTATAATACATTTAAAATACTTTCACAATTGTTCCATCTGTACTACTACACAACTGCAAAACATACCTTCTTTGCAAAACAAAGAATTCCAGATTAAAAAAAATTTTTTTTTTTACTACTCTCTATCCAGTCTTCCCTCTTCCCTCCTCCCTGGCCTTTCAGTACAAGAAATTAATAACTTAAATGTAACTTTTAAAATATGTATTTTTATAATATACCTATGACTATCATAAAAGTATTATATACAATAATAGTTTTGTCAGCTTTTGTTTTAAGAGTGTTTCTAGTTGCTTGTTGAGCATTTTTATGATGTGCTTTAAAATTCTTGTCAGATAATTCCAACTTCTGAGTCATCTTTAGTGTTGTCATCTGTTGATTGTCTTTTCTCATTCATGCTTCTTAGTATATTGTATCCTGGACATTTTGAGTATGATGTTATGAGATTCTAGAACCTATTTAAATATTCTGTTTTAGCAGGCAGCCACCCTGTTTTTTGGTTAGCGTGCAGATCCTGGCCTACTTTTGTGAGCTGTGGTTCTTATGACAATTTAGTTTTCAGAGCTCATGTAGTATTATTCTGGTCTATATCCTGTAATTCTATCTGGAGGACACTCTGAAACCTGGAATTCCACACTGTGATTCAGTTCTCAAACCTTTTGCCATATTCTATACTTTTAGTTAGGGGTGTGTCCAGGACATCCTGTGCAGGTTTAAGGAATGCTTTTCTCCAGGTTTTCTTGGGGCTTTTCCCACCCTTGTGCCTGTTGGTGGTTCTGGGTTGCATGCTTAACCAAAGAATAGTCTCAGATATATAGAAGATAAAAGAAAAATCAGAGACCCCATAGTGGTGCTGTTCCTCAAATTATTAGATCCTTAGTTCATTTTCCTCCTTCCACTATTCAGAGTTCTCTTATTATTGTGTTATATTTAGGATGTTTGGTTATTCATAATGGGGGAGAATATGAGAACTGAGAAGGCAGTGAGTGAGTCTAGTCTATCTTGTTTAAATTCAGAAGTACTTGTTTTATATATTTTAAATTTCTATTTCAGGTGCAAACACATTGGAGATTATGTCTAGTGAATTGACCCATTCATATAATTTTCCTCTTTATTCCTGTTAACATTCATTGTTCTGAAGTCTCTTGTGCCTCATGTTAATTTAGCTATTTCACGTTTTTTAAAATTTGTATTTTTATGATATATCTCTTTCCATACTTTATTTTGACCTATCTATGCCTTTCATTTAAAACTAGAGGCCCTGTGCACTTGGGTTCAGGGGCGGGGGGGGGGGGCCAGTAGTCCCTCAGCCTGGCCTGGCCTGTACCCCCTCGCAGTCCAGGAGCTCTTGGGGGATGTCCAACTGACAGCTTAGACCTGCTCTCCACGGGCCTTCCTCTGCAGGAGGTGACTGGTGGGCCGATCAGGGAACAGTGTGGTTGGCTGGTGAGTGGCTGGCTGTTGAGTGGCTGGCACCCCCCCCAATTGCCCCTCTGCCACCACTGGTGGCCGCTGATCCCTGATTGCCATTCCTTCCCTCTGCCTGTGGGCACCTACCTTGGCTGGCTTGGCGCCTTCCACTCTCTGGCCATGCTCCCCTGCTGACTGGTTGTTCTGCTGTTTGGTCAATTTGCATATTAGGCTTTTATTATATAGGATGAGTTCTCTGTTGAAAGCATATAGTGTGGCCTTTCTCTTTTTATCTGATCTTCATTCTCTGTCTCTTATTGGTACTTTTAGACATTTACATTTAATGTATTGTAATTATATACAGTTGATTTTAACCTTAACATATTGCCAAATGTTTGTTTACATATTTTTTGTTTCTTTCACCCTTTTTTGCTGTCTTTTGGATTCAGTATTTTAATCATATCTTATTTTTACTATTGGCTTGTTTATTTTGTTGTTGTTAATGCTCACCTGAGGGTATTTTTTTCATTGATATTTAGGGAGAATGAAAATGAGAGGGGAAGAGAGAGGGAGGGGCGGAGAGACATAATTAATATTGGCTATATGTGTTTATATTTTAACAGCTGCTGAAATAGTTCAAGAACTTGAAAATATGGAGAAGACTAGGATGCGTCTTGAAGCTAGTAAACTCAGTGAAAGAGTATGTTATGGTCTATTTCATTATCGGTGTAGAAATAAAGGAAAGTTGAATACTCTCCTGACATTAAAGCAAGCCAGAATGTACTAGAACACATTTCCACTTAATATATTATGATTTACCTGCAGCTCATTTTTAACACAAAACTCTATCATATTTAGCAGTCTTCTGGCACAGAATGCAATCTAGAGTTTATTAATGGGTTATAGTCCGTAGAGAAAGCATATGTCTACATACCCGGGAGCCTTTATATCGGCCCTTTCTCTGCTCATTGTATCTGATAAGCTATTAACCTCTGGTGCCCTTACCATCTTCATCTGTAAAATTTTGGGATTGAACTCTATGATCTCTAAGATCCCCTTTTAGCTCTGGCATTCTGCAATTCCATGATTGTCCCGATTGAGAAATTAAATAATTGTAGGAGTTTATAGAATATCTGTTGAGCTTATTGAGGGAATTAGAAACCTAAAATGTTTCACTATTGCTTTTCTCTAGCATGATGACCCAAAACTTGAGGAAAGGATGTCAAGGCAGTGTTTTGAGCTCTCCCACGTAGACTTTTCTCCCCCAGACCATCCATAATGTGTTTGTAGCGGGGAGTGAGCTTATAAGCAGTAGTAGGAAAAAATGAGATTTGCATTAACTTTATTACTGAGTGTGAACTGTAAGATGGAGATGGTAGTGAGTCATGTAAGTACACTTTTGGTTATTTAAGTCTCAGATGTGAAAAAGAACTATAAATGTAATATTTCTTGTATTTTTCCTATATGTTACATTTCTAATAGATTTGGGGAAGTTAGGCTGGGAAAGATAGAAGGCAAACAAGAAAATCTGCCTTATTAATGATTTGCTAAATGTCTCCAGTTTTGTAGTTTCAAGTGTTTTGTGGTTTGTTGTATTAATGAATGTGAAAAAATTACCTATCGAAAAAAGGAAAGTAAATTATTGTATTAATACTTTATGCATTCTAATGAAATTCATGTTGCATTTTCTACATGAATGAGAAATAAGTAATGAGTAAAATATAAATTAATTATATTCAAAGAAAATACTCAGGAGTTACTTTTCCTAGGTCTATGTGAAACAGAAATCAGTGATTATTTTATTCTATTTAAACATCCACATTTGAGATTTTAAAGTTTATAGTACTGGTTTCTATTTTTGTCATTTAATGAATTTTTAATGAGGAATTTTTTTATTATTTTAGGTAATGGTTTTTACAAAGGACCACACAGAAAAGGAAATAGACGAAATCCATAGTAAATACCGTAAGTTGTAGGAGGTTTTCTCTATTTAAAGAATTTGGGTTTCAGTTTTTAACTTAAAGTTTTAAAATAAATTTTTTATATTAATGTTTGGTACACACTTATCTTGTTAATATTACTTAAGAGACTGAATTTTAGTTGTGCTTACTCAGACAGGGACTTTTTTATAAGTCAATGTGCCTGCTTTTTCATTTGTAACTAGCATTCTACTTCAAGCTTATCACTAAGCACTTTGCAAATATCGATATATATATTTTTAAATATATTTTATTGATTTTTCACAGAGAGGAAGAGAGAGAGATAGAGAGCTAGAAACATCAATGAGAGAGAATCATTGACCAGCTGCCTCTTGCAACCCCCTTACTGGGGATGTGCCCGCAACCAAAGTACATGCCCTTGACCAGGATCGAACCTGGGACCTCTCAGTCCGCAGACCAACGCTCTACCACTGAGCCAAACTGGTGCCGGCTCACTTTGCAAATATTAATTAGTTGCTCTCAAAGCATCTTGTGAGAAGAAAATATGATCAAAATGGAAACATTTCTGACTTTCCTGTCCTCAAGCCACCCAATGACAATACTGTAAAGAATTTCAGCACTAATAGCTTGCAAATTTGTGCCAAAAAAGAGTTTTCATTTTATTAGGCATTAACAACTTCTTAACTTTATCATTTCCTTTTTCTTAAATGGACTTTGTGTATATCTTTCCTATAGCTAACACATTACTGTTTTATCTGTTAGGAAGCTGTTATCCTTTGTTTGATTGGTTTGTTTTTAGCTTAACTTTAAGTGGTTGGCAAACAGTAGATAGTTAATAGTGGTTGAATGAGTATACCACACATACAGTGTTTTGGTTGTGCTAAGAGAATGTTGTCTTCTTTTTTCAGTTCTTAAGTTTTGAAGGGACAGATTCAGTAGTGATCTATTTGGGGAGGGAGGATGCAGTAGTACACAGACACTAGATGTAGGTGTGATGACCTGTGCTGAACAACAAAAGTCATTTCTCTGTTGCTAGAAAGATAAAAATATATTTTATTGATTTTTTACAGAGAGGAAGGGAAAGGAATAGAGAGCTAGGAGAAACATCAATGAGAGAGAAACATCGACCAGCTGCCTCCTGCACACCACCCACCGGAGATGTGCCCGCAATCAATGTACATGCCCTTGACTGGAATCAAACGTGGGACCCTTCAGTTTCTATCCACTGAGCCAAACCGGATTTGGCGATTTTTTTTTTTTAAATCAACTTTTGGAAAGCCAAAGTGATTTTTCTTGAGACAAGAGGTAGAGACAACCAAGTGCTGACTGATTTGGCAAAATTAAGGCCTGTAACAATAAGGAAAACAGAAAATTTATGTGAAGAGAAAGTAATTTAAATCACTAAAAGAGCGGTATCTAACAAATATGCCTCACTAAGAAAGAAGTGGATTTGATGCAGGCAAGACAATATACAAATATCTATTGCCCACTATTAAATATCTAAAAATAGATATCTAAATATCTAAAAATATCTTAAAAAAAAAAAAAAAAAAACTTTACTAAATAGATCATGTTAAACTAATTGGTTTAGCCGAAACCGGTTTGGCTCAGTGGATAGAGCATCCGCCTGCGGACTGAAAGGTCCCGGGTTTGATTCTGGTCAAGGGCATGTACCTTGGTTGCGGGCACATCCCCAGTAGGGGGTGTGCAAGAGGCAGCTGGTCGTTGATTCTCTCTCATCGATGTTTCTAACTCTCTATCCCTCTCTCTCTTCCTCTCTGTAAAAAAATCAATAAAATATATATTTATAAACTAATTGGTTTAGCCCTCAGTATATACTTTAAAAAACAAAACAAAAACACACAACTGTCAGGCTCTTCTAAAGCTTAAGTTCTTATTATGTAGTCATACATTTTGATTTAGTGTTTGGCTCTAAATATACTATTGATTTCTTTTAAACATTTTAATTAATGTTTTACATGCATGTAGTTTTTTATTGTTTTTTTAAATTTTATTTTAAAGAGGGAGGATGGTGGAGTGGGGGAAGAGAAGAAGAAGAAGGAGAGAAGAGCTGGAGGGGCAGAGGGGGGGCACCCTAGGAATCTGCAGAAGGTTCACTTGTGTATTCAGTCAGCATACAAAGTATTTTTCTGACTGTTACAGAAGAAGGACCAGGACCCGATGGGTCTGGAAATAGGATTTTTCTGAGGTGTTTTAGGAAAAGAATTTAAGACTAGCACATAGGAGGAATTTAAGCGGCAAGATTTATTAGAGTGAGCGAGGTCGTACACCCTTGGAGAGGCCTAGAGCAGATTGGCTATAGTAGCGGCCTCATGAACAGAGGCAAAAGGAGAGTCCTCTGCCACTGCTTGCTGCTTCCCTGGTGGTAAGTCTGGTGGGGATCCTCAGAGTTTAAGAGAAAAGAAGGCAAAAAGTACGTGCCCAAAAGAACAGCATGAGTGTGCTCCAAGGAGGGCACGCACGCTGAATTTTTTGTCTAGCTTCTATATATTTCCTTGAGCTCAGAAAAGAGCAGCCTTTCTTTTTAACTCTTCAGCCTTCAATCCCTTTCCTGATTTTTTCCTAGGCAGTGCCCATGCCCTCCCCATCCAATCTCTTTCCTGGATCTTCTGGTTTTTGTGTCCTTACCCTATTAGATGTTCCCCCCCAGACTTCCCCAGGCTAGTCCCCTCCCCCTTTATGGTTGCCATTTTGGTTTCTAATACTCATGCACTCATTCTTTCTCCTTCCCTGCTCAACCAGCTGGAATGGTGCAGGTTGCTCCTGGGGTGACTGAAAAGTTTCTGCCTGGAGTGAGTGAAACTGTCCTTTTCTAGTTAATCTGGCTTGATCAGGTGTCTGGTTCCGTTTGCTCCCTTCCTTTTTGTTAATGTCTAACAAGCTGCCTACTGTAACATGACCACAATAGAATTAAGTTGGAAATCAGTAACAAAGCCTCCTGGAAATCTGCCAAATATTTGGAAACTAAGCAACACACTTCCAAATAACTCATGGATCAAAGGAAAATTAAAACCAAGAAATTTCAAAATTATTTATTAACTTTTTAAAAAATAACAAATCCATTTACACATTAACATAACCTGATAGAAAATAATGTTCCCAAAACAAAACAAAACAAAAATCAAAATAAATGGAATTTTCTACTAGCCCAGATAGCATAACAGAGACTATATTTACTTTCCTTCATTAATAAACTAGAAAACCAGATTAAATGTATGAAACAGTGGGTTTTTTTAGATGCTGGGGGAAAGTAGCACAGCCATGTGATTCCTGAAGGAAAGAAAACAAATTGGAGAGCTCTCCAGTTCCAGAGGTTACTGCCTAGTGGCAGTTTTAGGCTTTGGGTAAGGAGAACCCCAAAATTATCTGGTGGATCACTGAGTAGGTAAACCGGCAATGAAAGTTGTGGGAGGCCAAGGTGGCTAGAATTTGTGGGACAGCTTACCAGAGAAGAGAGAACCTCAGAGAGAGGAGAGCTCTATATGATACATAGAAGACCCTGTTAAGCTTTTGGCTGCCTAGCAATTTGTGCCTGAGGCTAGGAAAGGGCTAACTGAAGGGATTAGCTACAGAACAGTTTCTGGAGTTCACACAGGGTCTGGAACAATCTGAATTCATCACAAGCCCTAGTACAGAAAAAACACAACAACGCACACACCTCACAATATTTGGGGATATCAGACAGCATCCTCAGAAAGATATTATTCCTTCAGCAGCTGGGCTAACCTAATCTACTTTAGGGCCAGATAATAAGTATTTTAGGCTGTGCAGGCTATATCTGGTCTTTGTCAAATGTTCTATTTGTTAACACATCTTTATAAAGTTATAAAAAGCATTCTCAGCTAGAGAGCCATACAAAAATATGCCATAGATTGGATTTGGCCTTTGGGCAGTTATTTGTTGTCCTCTTTACACTTATGGTTGTACTAATTTCCTCTTTTCACTAATGGTTGTACTAAATTTTTTTTTTAATAGACTTTACGTTTTAGAGTAAAAACGCACTATTGAGGGGGAAATGCAGCGAGTTCCTATATCTCCCCTGGTGCACAGATGCACCGTCTCTCCTACCATAACATCCCTCCACAGATGGCAGGGGAGATGGTGCATCTGTGACACTGACACGTCCTTATCACAAAGTGCATAGTTTACAGTAGGTCACTCCTGGTGGAATATATTCTATGGGCTTTAACAAATATATGATGACATGTATCTGTTATTATCTTATCATACAGAATACTCACTGCTTTATTTATTCATTGATCCCTCCTTCCTAGCCCCTGACAACCACTTACCTTTTCAATGTCTTTATAGTTTTTTATTTTCCAAAATGTAATATAATTGAAATTATACAGTATACGGTCTTTTCAAATTGTCTTCTTTCTCAGTAATATGCATTTCAGGTTTCTCTATCTTTTTCTGACTTGATAGCTCATTTCTTTTTAGCTTTAAACAATATTCCATTTTCTGGATGTACTATAGTTTATCAATTTACCTAATACTTAATGATCAACTTACCTATTGCTTCTTTTGGCAGTTATTTAAAAAGTTCCTTACGTTCTTGTGCAGGTTTTTGTGTGAACATGTTTAAATATATTTGGATAAATACAAATATTTATCCTAAGGCATGTGAGTGCTAGATCATAAGGTATCTTTAGTTTTGTAAGAATTTGTATTTTAAATCTCTATACCATTTTGCATTCCCACTAGCAAAGAATAAGAGTTACTGTTGCTTCTCATCCATACCTGCATTTGGGTTTTTGCCATTCTAATACAATTATGTACTGATATATGATGTTGAGCATTTTTTCATATGGTTATTTGCATTTATATATCTTTTTCCAGGAAGTGTCTGTTCAGATCTTGGGCCCATTTTTAAAAAATATATATTATTGATTTTTACAGAGAGGAAGGGAGAAGGATAGAGAGTTAGAAACATCGATGAGAGAGAAACATCGACCAGCTGCCTCCTGCACATTCCCTACTGGGGATGTGCTGCAACCAAGG